AGCAATATGTATATTGCCACTGTATGCAAATCTGTATCTGACATATTTCTGCTCCGTGCCCATTGCACACAGCCCATCTGTGCCCAACAAATAATAGCATGAGTTCTCCCAATAGACCTCTAAGTGCTTCAGACTGCTTAAAAAGAAGGATTTTAAATACTTGAAGTTTCAGATGCACATGGAGATGGTTTTATATACAGTCATAGGAAGCCATGTGTGCAAAACTAAGTACACCTTATGATTTAATAGCTTGTAGAACCACATTTAGCAGCAATAACTTAAAGTAATATTTACTGTATGACTTTATTAGTCTCCCACATCATTGTGAAGGAATTTTGGCCCACTCTTCTTTACAATGTTGCTTCAGTTCATTGAGGTTTGCTGGCATTTGCTTATGCACAGCTCTCTTAAGGTCCAAACTTAAGATGTTGGGCAGAAGGCCTCACATTTGATACACAGAGGAGTTCATGGACTATTGACTCCAAGGTTCCAAGGACCTGTGGCTGCAAAACATGCCCAGATCATCACCCATCCACCACCATACGACAATTGGTATGAGTTGTTTGTGCTGATATACTGTGTTTTCGCCAAACATGGAAATGTGAATTATGACCAAAAATCTCCACTTTGGTCTCGTCTGTCCAAAGGACATTGATCCTGAAGTCTTGTGTTTTGTTCCGTTGCAACTTTGCAGACCTAAGGTGTGCAGCCATGTTCTTTATAGAGAGATTAGGCTCTCTACCAGCAACCCTGTAGAGTCTGAGGTGTTTTTTGCAATTTCTCTAAACATTGCATGGTCTGACCTTGAGATGAATTTGGTGGGATCTTTCTCATGGTAGAATGAAGGACTTTAAAATGTTTGGAAATGGCCTTATAGCCCATCCCAGTTTGATGAGCAATGATATTTGCTTCTCTAAAATCATTGCTGATGTCTTTCCTCCGTGGCATTTTGTTAACACACACCTGAATGCTCCAGGCCAGCAAACTGCTAAAACTTTGGCTTTTATAGAGATAGTCACGCTTGCTGAAAATCAATTAATCAAGGGCACTTGCTAAGCATCACCTGTCTGCTACTTAGTCCCTTAATTCTAATGGAAGCAGCTTTTTCACACGTCTTCTCCATTTTGGATTTATTTTTGTTAAATAAAGGATGACACAGTGTAATATGCCATGTGTTGTTGCTCACCTGAGGTTGTATTTACCTAATTTTAAGACCTGCTAAAGAACATATGATTGTAATTATGTCCTGATATGTAAAACCATAGAATTCAGAGAGGGAGTACTTTCTTTTTCCCATCACTGTACATGATGAGATAGACAGAAACATGACTACATACAAAGACATAAACTTAGACTGACAGATAAACAGACAAGCATTTACACAAATATAAAAGCTAACCTTCCCTCCCCCCCTCACCCCCCTGTTTATGTCACTCGCAATAAACATACACCTTGTATATAAGGATGTCTATTTCCATTGGAGAAGCACTAATATTTGAATAAAGTTATACAAGTAGCTAAACAAAATATACCATCCATAACACTGCCTCACCTTATGGTTTGTTGGCATACTTTCGAATCAATAACTCCAAATTCACAATCCTCAAAATGTCAATGCTTTGAGCTGCAGCTGGGATGACCCTCCATGTCTTTTCTTTTCAATGGTCTGACACTTCCTTCACTTGGGTGTTTGGTTGACCAGAAACCTCAGACAACTCTATCAAACAAATTCCCTTCCAATCCTCAATCAATTTCAACAAAATCTGTAGGAATGGATGTTGCCACACCCAGAGGCGTAACTAGACACCACGGGGGCCCAGTGCGAAAATTGCCCTGGGGTCCCCCTTCATACGTCCCTGCCCCCCCAATACGTCTATCCCTCCCCCCCCATATGTCCCTGCAGACAAACACACAGGCACACGTACATGTAGACACACACATACAGTAACAGACACACACATACAAACACACACATACATTCAGGCAGACATACAAACAAACACACATACATACAGCAACCACTACCTTCCTAATTAATTAATATATTAGGCTGCAATGAAAAGTGTGAGACACCACAACCCACAAATTGTCAGCACAAAAAACTGTCACTGGCCCTGTATGCATTATGGACATTATGGTTCTCTGCCAGGTGGCTGCCTTGCAGGTTAAGGTGGCAGGTGCTCTGTTTAATCTCAAATATTTATTAAACAAATACTGTGTAGCTCACTATAACTTATAGATGGATAGTTTAGATGAAATTGTGCTAACAATGTTCAAAAATATACTTGGAAGAAATTGGTTGCCATTTATTTTATATAAACCTTTGAAGCTTAGTGAGGTGTAATATAGGATAGACTAATATTGTATAATCAGAATGCACTATTTTGGATTGTGTTTGTTTCTGTCCTACTCCTGGGTTTGGGATCACTTGTGAATAATACATTCCTTTTGTCATCAAACTCCAAGTGACCTCTCCTGCTGGGTTGTAGCCTTTCATATGCCTTAATCTAAAGCCAGTAAAAGTCTGGAAACATATATAACTTTGTTTTTGGATACCCTGTCGCTTGCATCTCCACATTGCTTTTCAGTGAAGATATTTATGACTATGCCAATAATGTCAATGCAAAGTAAACCCAATTTTCTCAGAAGCCCAGGTAAAAAAAGCAGTTCATGGTTATTGTGTGTATTATGAAGAAAAAGTTAATTAAACCATAGCTCATAGGACTGACTTTTACATCTTCATTCTTCTCGGAAACTACCCCCAAATCAATGTCTATATATCATCATGCCAGTAATACATCTGAAATGTGAAAGATAGTAAAGTCATAATGTGTCCTTAAAGATTGAACGCAGCCTGTAAAAGACTTTATGCTAGCACAGAATGCCCTGCTTATTTAGTATAGGAAGAGCTATACAGCCCTGCTATAGTCAAATGAGTGTGACATTCTACTTTTATTTAAGATCATTAAAGGCTAGATTGTTCTTATGGAATGATTCCAATTGTGATCTCTAAGTGTTTAAAAACCGCATGTTTTAATTTCCCAAAATTCCTGTTTGATTTGAACTCTTTTAAAAACGCAACAACAATGCCTGTGCCATATTCCCATAACTCATGTTTTATCAGGCAGCCAAGACATATCCATCGCTTCCAGGGAAGCAAAGTATCCTGGGTAATTACATGCTAATGAGCTCTCAGACAGTCAGCTATAATACCCATTAATTATATTTTATGCTTCTTGTAAACCATTTCTCTAGAGGCTGCAGGGAATAGTAGGAACAGCTATGCAAACAATGACTTGGACTTTACCTGCACAGCTTGCCACCAGACTTTGCATGGATAAACCACAAACATGATGTATTCTCTGCATCAGAATATTGCTGTTTTGCTTTAGGATATTCCAAGTGTTTTGTTTCACACGTGGGTTAAGCATGAAAATGCCCAAGGGGTGACACATAGAACAGGCAGCAGCAATGAGCACAAATCAGCACGGTCAAGATCACCTGGCAAATCCAGAGTGTTCCACAAGAAGCATTCTCTGAGGATTAGCCACAAAGCAAAGCATTATTGGATGCGCAGCTGCAAGCGTGTGTGCACAGTAAAAGGATTTCAGTCACCCCCTGCTCTTTATAATCTCAGCAAACTGCATGTATAGAGTGTTGAGGGACAACAGGGTTCCTGTATATCAAAACAAATAATGCTTATACATAAAGGAAGGTGCGAACGTCAAAAAAGCTTGAAAATAACAATATCTGTAGTTTAAAATAAGTAATGAAATATTTTTTACCAAACAAATTTACACACTTCCTTTGCATTACAGCAATTATGGGTTGCACATATCAAATACACAAAGTATAAATATATATTCAATTTGCTTAAATATTGGAAAAGACAATTAAAATGGATAAGTCATCCAAGAAACAATTCCAAAAATATGTGGATTATTAAGTAACACAATAATAAATCTCCCCATCAAATAACAAAATCTTTCGAATGATGTGCATAGAATATTTAGAGAAACTTTATGATAACTGATTCCTTGGAAAACATTTTTAGATGTGAAAAAAAAAGTCTTAAAACATATTTATTTCCCCAATCTTTATATTAGTTTCAATACAGTACGAAATTTTACAAACAGTACAAAAAAAAACTAATGAGAGATGATAAAAAGGAGAATACATGAACAGGATCACACTAGAGGGTACATAAGAAACACTCTGGATGGCTCAATCCTTATAAAGACTTATGGAATCTGTCATAGAATTAGTCTTCGGTCTTGTGTTCCATATGGAAAGAGGATTGAAATGGTCACTTTGCTGATGTGAGAGGTTTTACAGTGACTCACAGTGTACACCGTGGAAGCATGCGTCTCCTAATCAATGTACAACTCTTGCCAAAGATGATTAGCCAAAGTCACAGTTTGCATTTTATCTCACTATAAAGTGAAAACTGTCAGCAATTCAAAGTGAATTTCAAATTTAAGACTCTATTGTCAGCATAGCTGATTTGGAGAATGTTTCTATTTTGGCCTTAAATTTTAAATTCACTTTGAATTCGGTCAATTCTCACATTAGTGAAGAACCCTGAATGTCTTCCCCTACAGTGCCTCCACTTTATGTACGGATTGGTGAACAATGATCAGATTTCCATCTCCCAGTGGGCCACGGGTGAAGTACTCTGCTCTGTATACTCAACTTTTAATGTTTGTAGCTTCTTCTGTTTACGCGAGTAGGAAGTTAATTTGTATCTGGATCATAGTATGGTTTCAATATTTTCTTTGTTTCTCTACAGCTGACTTTGTTGGATTTGTCCAGCCTGGGAATACTGGTTTTAAAATGATCTGACCCTCCAACAATGAACACCTTTTTTTTCCTTCTACATTTACCTTTGAAAAAAACATGAAAAAGTTATTTTTTTCTTAAATAGTTTTCAAAAATTTTTTTATATTGGAACCAAATATCATAACAAGTCAAGCCTATCCAAGCTTCCTAGATATATTGTTTTATAAATTTGATAGATCAGGCCTTGTTAAGGAAAGACTATGGCAAATTTCATTGCACTCTGCATGTTGTTTACTAAAGAAAAACCTTATTCCTCTCTTTCCAAAATTGGTGCACGTTGCTTCTCTGTTCGTGCTTGAACCATCTGCGGTATTGTTAACAGAATGGATCTGGGGATCAGTGAGGTAAATAAGGGCTTCTCCTTTCTTATTTCCAGTTACCCAACCTGTGAAAGAAAAAAAAAAATATATATATATATATATATTGTGTAATCAAAAATCACTAACAGCCAAAAAGAAGGGAGAGAGATTAAATTAATAATAAAAAAAAAAATCTACTCCAGACAATTATTTATTTTTCCCAGTGTAACTGAAAGAACTGGTTTATCAGCACAACCGCAAATTCAATGAGATATTCTACTAACTAACCAAAATACATTTTTGCAACATTATTATACATAACAAGGTCTATAATAATTGGACGCTTACCTTGCAAATCCACCACAATATCAGAGTGACCTGAAAATTCATAAGCAAAATGTCCAAAAGCTAAACCATATTTAGTTGCTTCATATTGTGTCTTGACAACCTCTTTATTATTAGATAATTTTACAAATTCTCCAAGAACATACGGCTCCACACTTACACATCCTTTAATATTTTTGTCTTCCAAAATCTGAAAGAAAGATGAAGAGAAAAGTGATAGAAGCCACATATTTTGGCCTTTTTAATTCGGTGTACATGCTGAACACCACAAAAGCCTTATTTGTATAAGTAACTGTAGAAAAGTCAAATCGACATATAAGCTAAAAATTGATTTTCTATTACTTAAGTTTGGAATATTTTTTTTTTGGTGCATGACTGAAAATTTGAACTGTACATAAAAAAATATCTAGATCATTTAGATCAATAAATAACAAACTGAAACACAATAGGTCTGTATTGCGCATACATAAAAAAATTAAAATAAATAAATCAGACCAGAAAGCAAGAGTAGCACGGCAGTAGACGTACAACAGAATGCTGAACAGAGAGGCGTACATTAATATTTAGGAATCTGGTAAAATGCAATGTAGGAAATAAAATGCAAGTTAGTGGATTTTTTTTCATCACTTTATAGTACTAGAATTTAATGGCATTTGTTCCATGTTTGTTTTTCTTACAGCTTGCATAATGGTCACTTTTAAGCCTTTTAATGATGTCCAGCACAAAAAGCCTCTCTCTATTTATACAGAGTAACACGAATCTTACCAGTAGTACATAGGAAGGGATGTAAAATAGCTGTGTGGGTACATTCAATTCATATAGCCTTTTATTGAATTCATTCACATAGTATTGCGCTGTCATTTGGCGCTCAACATCACTGAAAGGGTACAGTATACTTCTCGGCTTCTTGTACTCTTTCCCAACATATCTAAGAAGAGGAAAATGTAGCGAGATAATTCATTCAATACATAATATTATGAATACCTTAATGTTTTAGATATTATCATGTTGATTTGCTGAAACCCATTGCGGTTAAAAGTGGCGTTGCAGCACAGTTACACAAAGAATGCAATCAACTAACTGGTCTAACTTTGAGAAATGCCAATTAGTAAAAGGCTCTGACCCTGGGTGAGAGATCTCTATTGGAAACCACAGAAACTGTGATACCATCTGCTATTTACTAAATGGTGCTTTAGTTTCACAGGCTGCAAAAAGCCCTTTTTAGGTGTAAATGCTACTTTTAGTGCGACCAAGCTTAAGATCTCACTAGGCGAGGGGCATCACTCTGATTAATGCTTTCAATGCCACTTTATACAGCACTGCAATGTGCCGCTCTCCAGTATGGGACTGAAAATATTAAAATAAAATGTTGGGGTATGTCAGAACCCTGCATGTAATTAAAGAGGGATGATTAGATTTCTCATAATGAGAGAGCTGATTGGGTCTGTATTTTAAAAATAAATACATAACAATATGTGGACTCCATAGGCCCATAGACTATATGGTTCTCCTCTTTTTCCACCTGGCTCTTGATGTTTAATAAATAGTTGCAATAATACATTTTTGAAATTGTTAACACAGTCAAGAGTTACCCAGTCTCCTGACCCTCTAATGGTTAAAGGGCCATAGGATTTCAGGCCAACAGGTAAACAGGTCCAAGAGATGCTGGCTATCTCCTGGCTCAATGTACATATTTAAGGACGGGACATGTCAGGTCTCCTGGCCAATAATGGCTTAACACTAGAAGCAGGCCCAAAATTGAAACAAAATATAAATAAATATATATATTTGTCAGCTACTCCTGACAATATAATCTACTTCTCCCCTCCATTCCCTAGCACTTTCACTCGAATCCAGGCTATGAGTGGACCTGGAACTTTGTTTAAGTGCTCCACTCAGTGTAGCATTATTGCTGCATGAAGGGATACTAGCAGTAACTCCCAGAACTGGCTTCTATGCCCTCCTGTTGTCACTCCAGGCAGTGGGTCATGGGACGTGATGACTTACTGTGCAGTCAGAGGGGAAACAGGAAGCTCACTGTGTGGAGAAGAGAGTAGGCTTAAATCTATATATGTAAATATAGGGTCAGTTTAAATCTATATATTTAAATGACTGTAACTGTGTGTCTTTGTGACCACACATACATAACTGGCTGAAGGGCTCAATGATGTATGATAATTAAAGGTGGAACATTTCCACCTTGAATATTCGCTCACAACACAGTGATTGGCTTGGAATCCAACTAATTAGAGTGATTTTATGAGTAAGTCTTGCTCATCAAGATTAACCCCATCTGCTGTTTCAAATTAGGCATGAGATGATAGTCTCCTGATCTTGAAAAGGCTAAAAGGGCCAGTAGACTATATATCTTATCACCCTGCTAAAAGAGAAGTGGTCAGAGAGATGGGGACTATCTGGCCCTTTAGCCAATACAAAGCTGGAGAGTTTGGGACCCTCTTTCCCATGTTGAAGAAAAAGGGCCAGGAGAGGGCAATGATTAATTGGACTGGAGTTTGCCAAAACCCATGAATGTATTATAGAAGGAGTAAAGGTCCAGTTATTCTATGGTGCTTCTTAACAATGATCTTATATATCAACAACAGAGAAGGACATTTGTTTTTCTAACGGTACTGAGTAGACAACTTTAGCTTATATTAAATATAAATTAATTACCTTCCCAAAGTCTCGTCCTGGTGTAAACAGTGAATCCAGAAAGCATTTCGTTGTTGACCTGGTTTAGAAACGGCCACATAATCACCAAAGTACACAAACGTTTCCTGGGCTGTCCACAACTCTGAGTTCTTGGAGAACTTCAGAAGCAAAGCATCTGAATAAAATATACATAATACAAGAGAAAGTGGTAAGTCAAAATAATTTATGGAGGGTGGCTAAGCACTTCTAAAATCCTCCAGAGAATCAAAGCTTTCTACTTTATTACTATAAAATCAGGTACTTTGCAGTGAAAATAAAATGTATAAAGGGAAACAAATATTCCATTGTTTATGTAGGTACGAAACATGTCCATAGTCTCTCATTGCTCCTCTGTCCCGTGAGCAGTAAGATGGAGGGTAATGATCAGGTCAACAAAATCTCCCAGATTCAGACGGTGCTCAATCCCTCTGTCTATATTAATACTAGTGGGACCAAAAGGTGATCCTCTTAACAGTAATAGGGCTAGAGGTGCCCAATGAAACTAAGATTTTTAGTTACAAAATCCTGTACTCATTCACAGAGTTTACTTTTGCAGTTTTATAGGACAAATCTATAGATATTGTGTGAAGTTTTATCCTCCAGCAATACACAGCTTTAAGGATGAGTAAGTACAAGGCTTATTGCAGACAAATCTGTTCATGCATGTGTGGTGTTGGTTGCATGTTTTAGTGGCTGTTGAGTGAAGCGTGACAAACAAGCATGTCTGTGAAATGCTTAGGAGAAGGGCTACTACTGGCCAATAAACTCTTCTAATCTAGGACAGGAAATTTAAAGTAAAGCCCCTGGTGCAATGTCTATGTGCTATTCACTTACTAACTAATAATGACTCTACAGACATTTTAAACAACCATTAAAGCAGACACTTCCTTGGACATTAGTGTGCCATTACTCTACCTTTAAGTTAACTGCTCACAGCCTAAGGGAAAAAAAACTAATATGTTTTATGTGGTTGTAAACCTCTTTCGACTCCATCATGCTTCTCTCTTCACATAGAAGAAAGGTTTGTTCTTAACTTAGTATCTGGATGAACTTTCACACAGCGTCAGTAATAGGTTTCTATCCAGGGGTTCTTGGTAGGGTATAATTTCTTATTTCAGTGTTTTTCAGGGCAATGCTGCAAGCAACTGTTACTTATTAAAAAATAGACAAATAGTGGACATCTTTAGCAGAAAGAAGATGGATGAGAAACTGTTTAACAACATCTGCAAGATTGAGCTTAATTTATTATCTTGTGCAAATGGAACTAGAGTTTACAGAAGGCGTTGTAATACATCTCTTCTCACATTTTTATATTTTGTAATGTAGGCCACCTTCCTAAAATAAAGTCTTTCGGACATCACAATTCCGTGGTTGGTTATAGTTAAGAAAATTACATGACTTGTTGAAAAACATAAAAAAGATGCACAATTGATAGTGTTGTTCTTTGTCATTGACAAAGTCTTTGTGGCAAAAAACATGTGCCTTGTAATTGAAATAGCATATGGCACTGTCAGTAGAGATACAATGAACTTGTATTACATACAGAATCTTTCATTAACACACACTTCCATCATCCAAAATAAATATGGCATATAACATTAATTATAAATTGCATCAAAAATATCACCCACACCTCCATGATCACATTTTCCATTAGGCAGAGTAGGCATCTGCCTACATACACATGTCTGTTAGAGGTGGCACAAGTGCCTACTTACTCTGCCTGCAGTGCTTTGCCATCTCTGAGGCTGCAAGACTGATTCTGTAAAGACTGGGATCACTGTGTTCAGTCTGGGGCTGAAAGACTAGCTGCAAGACTGGGATCACTGTGTTAAGTCTAAGGGAGTCTGATCTATGCCTACATTGAAATACACATACACAGAGGTATACACACTCAAACAGACAAATACACAAACACATAATCTACACCAACACACAGACATATGCACAACCTCCAACATTGGGATGCCAGTGGGCAGGGTAATAGGGGGAAAGCTAGTGTTTTGGACTGTGTGACAACCATAGAGGGGCATACAAGCCCAGAAAAGGCAAAAACATGACAGGCATAACACACACACATTCTCTCTCTCTCTGTTTAGTTAAGATGGAATCCAATAAAAGTTAGGCCAAAGACAACTTTACTGTCCAATAAAAGGTAGGCCAGAAAATACAGCTCCCACTGACTGCAATACAAAAATGCTGGTAATGCACAGGTCACACTCATTGCAGCAACATTGGAAAAACCTAAATTGTTGCCGTAGGGCATAATGCAAAGTATAATTAGAAGAAATATATTTTTATCATACTTTAACGGATTTACTACAAGGACAAAAAAAGGATTGCCTAAATGGTTTTTCAACATTTATCTGCAGTGTCCATTAAAGGTATGAAAAAGTCTCAATTAATACTCACTGTATGCACTGTGCAGGGGTAAAGAATTTATCTTCTCAGTGCCCTCCAGCTTTTTCAGAAGCCAATCATTATCAACACCTGAAAGAAGGTGTTCATATTCCATATCATCTAATGGAGGCAGTGGACGTATTATTTTTGAATCATCAAATTTAAGGAAAACAAATGAACTCCCACTAGAGTTTAGAAAAGAGTTTGAATCAGAAAGGCTGCTCGAAAACTGTGCTGATTTGCTCCAGGAGAGAGAACTATGGCTACTAGTAAAGCTCAAGTTTAACTTATCCACTTCCTCCTCGGTAGTCTCACATGCAAAATCAACTGGCAATACATTGCTGTGGTCGGACTTTGAGCTTACACTATGTGTGCTCTTCTGTTGTTGCAGAGTTCTTTTGCTAGATGCACTGTCTGCAGACTGTTGCTTTTTGAGAACACTAACTTCATACACATCCTGTGAGTTTGTTTCCATATTAAGAGCAACAAATCCATCTTCAGAAGACACGACAGAGAGCTGGTGTTTGACTTCATTCTTACTGGTAGAAGGATATGGGAATTTCTTGGTTGAAGGCTCATGTGTACTAACTGACAAATCTGCTGTGGTGTCCACCGTTTCACCTTCTGGGTCTATTCCACAAGACAACATTTTTCCAGCAAGATCTAGTTTCACTGAATGGTCATTTTTTGCAATATCAGTTGGCTGGTTGGTTGTATCGGTGGCAGACTCTGTTTCAGCAGTGGGGTCAAAAATCTCATAAAAATTAGCACCCAAACATGGATTTTGGCCTCTGACATCAGGCACAGTTGTGGCCAATCTGCTGCCAATAACAGAAGTTTCCGATTCATTTGTCTTATTAACCAGGGTGTGTTGATTATTGGGACGAGATCTTGCCTCCTCTGTTTCATGTATAGAGAGGTGCTCAAAAGAGATATCCTCTGGATCTTTACTTACTCCTGGGCAATTTTCATCAATGTCATCAGATGCTGCTGTAGAGCAAGGGCTACCTATTTTACCTCCATCTATACCAGCCTCTTTAAACTCATCCAGTTCATTATTAAAACCGAATGATTCCCAGCTGGAAGAGGAATTTGACACATTGCACCATGATTTCAAAGAACCAGAGGTAGAACTATTACTGTTATTTGACCTACTGAATAACTTTCGTTTCTCATCACCTGGAAAATGGTTTATTGCATTAGACCGTTCAATTCCCATTCTCCTACTGTTATCTTTCCGGCTGCGTAGGTCACTATCTCCGGTTGTTGGGCAATCAATGTCTTCTGTTGTACTGACCGTATCAAGGGTTTTTAAGGCTGTCACACAAACTCCAGATTCTACTTCTCCTGCATTCTGATTTCTGCAGGTACTTTGAAAGGCATCACACACTGATTTGTGATGGTAAGAAAACAAGTTCAATATAACACTGAACCTCACTTTTCCATTCACAATGGTTTTCTTCAAGCAGTCCCTGTAGCTGTCAGGCACGTAAGAACATTCGTCTGATTTTGGGAAAGCATCTACCATTAGCTGCTCTTTCAAAGATTCTACCAGGTACATGATATGGTTAGCAAGATTTCCTTTATCTTGTTTGTCTGTTAATACACTATACATGGCTAGCTTCTCCATTGCCTCTCTGCATAGTAGGGTCACCTCTTTATTGCGAACATTATCACCATGAAGCCACCTATGTACAATTGAAAGACTATAGGCTGATTTGACAAAGCTGTGAAGTTCCTGTTTGCTTGTAACCTGTTCTCCTTTTTTCTTGGTGAGAAGACCAATTTCAAATGACTCCTTTGCTTCTGACAGATAATGCAATCTATTCTGTTTGGGACATTCTTTTGATAAACTGTAGGATAACAGGCATGTACCACGAATGTTCTGGAAATCAAATAAAAATGTTATTTAATGTATATTTTGCTACTAATACTATTTTTAGTGACAAATTGATGAATAATAATATTAATACTATCAAAGTATTTAGCCAGGAATGGTACATTGAGCTTGTAACAAATTTTCATGTGCATCCTGGGGTCTACAGGTGATACTCGAAAAATTAGAATATCGTGCAAAAGTTTATTTATTTCAGTAATGCAACATAGAAGGGGAAACTAATATTTAAGATAGAAGCATTACATGCAAAGCAAGATAGTTCAAGCTGTGATTTGTCATAAGTGCGATGATTCTGGCTTACAGCTCATGAAAAACCCCAAATCCACAATCTCAGTAAATTAGAATATTGTGAAAAGGTGCAATATTCTAGGCTCACAGTGTCACACTCTAATCAGCTAAGTAAGCCATAACACCTGCAAAAGGTTTCTGAGCCCTTAAATGGTCTCTCAGTCTGGTCCAGTAGGAATCACAATCATGGGGAAGACTGCTGACCTGACAGTTGTGCAGAAAACCATCATTGACACCCTTGATAATGAGGTAAAGCCTCAAAAGGTAATTGCAAAGGAAGTTGGATGTTCACAAAGTGCTGTATCAAAGCACATTAATAGAAAGTTATTTGGAAGGGAAAAGTGTGGAAGAAAAAGGTGCACAAGCAGCAGGGATGCCCGCAGTCTGGAGAGGATTGTCAGTAAAAGGCCATTCAAAAGTGTTGGGGACTTTCAGAAGGAGTGGACTGAGTCAGTACATCAAGAGCCACCACACACAGACGGATCCTGGACATGGGCTTCAGATGTCTTATTCCTCTTGCCAAGCCACTCCTGAACAACAAATAACGTCAGAAGCATCTTACCTGGGCTAAAGAAAAACAGACGTTGTCTGTTGCTCAGTGGCCCAAAGTCCTCTTTTCTGATGAGAGCAACTTTTGCATCTCTTTTGGAAACCAAGGACCCAGAGTCTGGAGGAAGAATGGAGAGGCACACACTGCAAGATGCTTGAAGTCCAGTGTGAAGTTTCCACAGTCTGTGTTGATTTGGGGAGCCATGTCATCTGCTGGTGTTGGTCCACTGTGCTTCGTTAAGTCCAGGGTCAACACAGCCGTCTACCAGGAGATTGTGGAGCACTTCATGCTTCCTTCCACAGACGAGCTTTATGAGGATGCTGACTACATTTTCCAGCAGGACTTGGCACCTGCCCACACTACCAAAAGCACCAAAGCCTGGTTCAATGACCGTGGGATTCCTGTGCTTGATTGGCCAGCAAACTTGCCTGACCTGAACCCCGTAGAGAGTCTATGGAGCACTGCCAAGAGAAAGATGAGAGACATCAGACCGAACAATGCAGAAGAGATGAAGGCCGCTATTGAAGCATCCTGGTCTTCCATAACACCTCAGCAGTGCCACAGGCTGATAGCTTCCATGCAGTAATTGCTGCAAAAGGGGCCCAAACCAAGTACTGAGTCCATATGCATGCTTATACTTTTCAGAGGTCCGATATTGTTCTATGTACACTCCTTGTTTTATTGATTGCATGTAATATTCTATTTTATTGAGATTGTGGATTTGGGGTTTTCATGAGCTGAATTATCTTGCTTTGCATGTAATGCGTCTATCTCATAAATTAGTTTCCCCTTTTACGTTGCATTACTGAAATAAATTAACTTTTGCACGATATTCTAATTTTTCGAATTGGTGCTCATTTCATCAACCTTGGAAGAATGAAAGAGTGAAATGACATTTCCAGGAATCAAACCTGTGACTGCAACAGCTGTAATTCCTTGACCACTGAGCCATCTCTCAACTATCAATTAAATCTGAAGAAATCCAGCGGTTAAACCAACAAAATAACAATAGAAACATCCCTGAAGAAGTTGGTTGTAATAATTCCAAGTGTAAAAAAACATTTTAATGTCCCTATTTCAGATATCTCACCAGGGCTGTCACAATAGGAAGAATTTTCCATGCCCTCATTGCTGCCTTGACATAAGGGGGCAAACAGTTCTTTTGGTGTTATTGTGTCAAAATAAATAATTCATACAGTTTCAGTTTATGAATATGAACTGAGGATCCTGAGAGGGCGATATTAACGTTAATGCTAGCCTTTAATGAGAACAACTTTACAAGGTAAACTAGGATGTTTAATCACTAGTGTTTTTGTTAGTTTTTGCTGTTGGAATGCAATCGGTTTAAAGACTCAGTGGACAGCTTCCTCATAGAAGAGGAGTTTATTACAAGATTTTAACAGTGATAAATATAGTAATGATAATTGCTAGATGAAAAGTCCACTTTTATATAACTAACAAGTTACTGTACTTCTGAAGTTGTCAGTGTCTATATGTCCCTTGCAGTTTTAAATGTGAAACCATAAGATGAGTAGCTTGTGACACTCAGTTACCAGATTGGTGAGAACGAAGAGTGGAGTGTATGAACTGAAGGTAGCAGCCAGTTTGCAAGCCTCTGCCGCAGACAGCAACCGGTGATCAAACTCTTCCAGTAAGCTCTGCCAAATAAAACAAATTGCACTGTTCAGATTTAGAAGGAATCAAAAGAACCAAAGGCAAGTGAGTTTTAATAATGGGACAATAAATAATATGGGTTTCTAGCAGGGTATTGAGTGACATGGATAGCAAAGAACAAAATAATGGGGAGAAGGTACATCCCTGTAATATCCACCACATTCTTGGTTGAAATAATTCAAACAAATTAAAGACCAGATGATGAAACAGACAGAAGAAACTTTGAGAAGATTTCCATCAAATGTTACTCAAATATGTCTGAAAATGTTAAGTGCAATGTGAAAAAAAGAGTTTGCTCAAATGGTTGAGAATTATCCGAGTATATGTCCTGGGTTAAGATTATTTTCATAAATTGTTATTTACAAGAAGGCTGCATTTAATAAGAAAGTAATGTAGCATTAATAGAAAAAAGAAGGCAGAATTTATAGACTATGAATATCCCTGTTGAACACTCTCTTCTTCTTAAAACCCTCCACAACATTGGAATCCGTGACACTGTACTTTCCTGGTTTTCATCCTATCTTTATGAACAATGATTTAGTGTCTCCTTCACTGGTGCTACCTCCTCCCCACTGCCAGTCTTAGTTGGTGTTCCCCATGGCTCTTTTTTGCTCCAATTTTATTCATCGTTTACACTGCTTCTCTTGGTAACCATATTAAGTCTTTTGGATTTAAATACCATCTATATATGGACGATACTCACATTTGCCTCTCCTCCTCTGACCTCTACTACTTACTTTCAACAAGTCACAAACTGCCTCTTTTCCATCCTTAACTTGATGTCTTCCTGTTTTCTAAAATGGAACTTCTCATAATTTCCCCAACAAATAGCCCACCTCCATCTATCTCCCCCCATGAATAGGATACCTATTGCCACACCCCTCAAGCTTGCTGCTTTTCTTTTACTTTTGACTCCTCACATCCAATCTGTCTCCAAATGCTGTAAATTCAACCTTTAAAAAATTGCCCACATTCACCCCTTTCTAACTCAAGATACAGCTAAGTTACTTGTGTTCATTATTTCCACACTATTGCAATGCAATACTCATCACACACACAAACACCTGCGTTGTTCCTCTTCAGTCTACGATGAATGCTGCTGCTAGACTTATCTTTCTGATTCACAACTACTCCCACACCTCATCCCTATATTGGCTTCTTCTACCCTTTGGGATCCAATTCAAAATGCAAACCTACAAAGCCCTCATTAATTCCAATCATCGCTACATTTCCTTTTTACTGAATGAATGCACCTCTTCTTGTTACCTTCAGATTGCAAGCAATCTTCTCCTGTCATCTCCTCATTCCCACACTACTAACTCTCACCATCAGGATTTTTTTTAAGGCCTCTTTCTCCAGTCCTTTGAGAAGTCAATTAAAACATACCTCTTTAGGGAATCTTACCATCTTCTTGGGCAACACATCTCTAATTACAAATGCTCTCCTTAGTTCCCTCACTGCCGTATCCCAGCTCTCTCTCTCCTTTCACTCTTCCCTTGTTCCACATACCACTTTTACTGCTCATTGCAGCACAGGCATCTTATCCATCACTCCCTCCTCCCCTCTGACATCATATCATTTATCTAGTATTTCTTTAATATTGTTAATATGTTATATGACTTACTACGTATAACTTGTAGTCAAATTCTATAAATGTAATGCACTACAAAATATGTTGTTTTTATATAAATGCTTATAATAAATATAATGTTAAATATTATTAAATATTTTTTCTTCATAAGCAAGTCAAAAAAACAGCATGCAAACAAGACTCGGGCAAAACACATATACGACCGAGGAGACCAGTATAACAGTACCTTGAATTGCCTTTTGTAGTACAGGTTTTATTTACATGTAGTACAAATGACATGGTTTAAAACACAGGAGAGTACCTTACCAGACAGACATGACTACTCTTTTTGAACCTTTGATAGTTTTCTTCACTCATTGAAATAAAAATGTCTGCCAAAACACCTAAAGATGTGGCTATTCCCTGCAATGGCAAAGAAAAAAAGTGTTAGTCACTAATTACAGGTATGCAGGCACTGATTAAAGTAACAGGTGTCAGGCACATTGTTCTCATTTACCAACCAAACCCCCAACTGAAGTTGAGAATCAGGTGACAGATTTACAGCTTACTGCAGACACACACCTCGTGTGCAAAATAAGGAACTAAAGGCAATCAGTTAGATATCCCAAAAAGTTGTATCTGTATATATGACCACTGAGCTGTTAAAATACTGATTGCCTGGTGGCTGCTGAGATTATGTGAATGTTTCAGGGACACATCAGTATTATCTGGATTCCTGATATTCATTATTCATCGACAATATTTGGGGACCATAGGAAAGTAGCTTGAGAGGTAAAGATGTTCACTCACACCTAGCAAATTTGTAATGTAAACGTATTACGATCATGTACTCAAATCAATTCTAGTTATTTATCACAATTATGGATACTAGCATTAGATTTTCAACTCAATGGTTTATTCTTATTTATATCTCAGTCATCAGAATATAGTATTTTGCATTACATATTCATGTACAGAGACAGGCTACACAATTAATAAAATTAATGGAACATTCTATTTATGAGGAAAGGTTAACATATTTAAATCTCTTTAGGTTAGAAAAATTTTGCCTCAGAGTGGATATGATAGTATTATACAAATATATTCTGGGCCAATACAAACCATTGTCTGGAAATATGTTCATAAACTGGATTATACATTGGACACAAGATCATTTAGAGTGGAAGACAGGAAATTTAGTCTCAGGCAAAGTAAAGGATTTTTTTTTACGGTAAGAACAAGAATGTGGAATTCTCTGCCTGAAGAGGTAGTTTAAATAGAGTCTGTACAGATGTTTAAACAGCAACTGGATTGAAAAAAAACATAATATTAAAGCATATCATTTTAAATTGTGGGGAAAGAACTTCATGATCCAAGGAGAGATCTGACTGCCATTCTGGGGTTTTGATTGTTGCAAAATTGGAAGGACTTCAAACTAAGTTTTTTTGCCTTCTTTTGGATCAACAGCAAAACCATATGTGAGAAAGGCTGAACTTGATGGACGCTTGACTCTTTTCAGCTATGTAACTATGTAATGTTCTGTGAACCACTATAAAGCAGACCATTAATAGGTTTCTAAAATGGTTAACATGTTTTCTTCACTGCAGTTAATTATAGAGATATTAAAGGGACACTATAGTCACCTGAACAACTTTAGCTTAATGAAGCAGTTTTGGTGTATAGAACATGCCCCTGCAGCCTCACTGCTCAATCCTCTGCCATTTAGGAGTTAAATCCCTTTGTTTATGAACCCTAGTCACACCTCCCTGCATGTGACTTGCACAGCCTTCCATAAACACTTCCTGTAAAGAGAGCCCTATTTAGGCTTTCTTTATTGCAAGTTCTGTTTAATTAAGATATTCTTATCCCCTGCTATGTTAATAGCTTGCTAGACCCTGCAAGAGCCTCCTGTATGTGATTAAAGATTAATTTAGAAATTGAGATACAATTTTTTAAGGTAAATTACATCTGTTTGAAAGTGAAACCAGTTTTTTTTTTCATGCAGGCTCTGTCAATCATAGCCAGGGGAGGTGTGGCTAGGGCTGCATAAACAGAAACAAAGTGATTTAACTCCTAAATGACAGTGAACTAAGCAGTAAAATTGCAGGGAATGATCTATACACTAAAACTGCTTTATTTAGCTAAGGTAATTTAGGTGACTATAGTGTTCCTTTAATAAACTAATATGGAATTTTATTTGCATTTATGTACAGAGAATTTACAAACTACCAAAATCCTTGGCAGCAGGGGTAACAATTTCTTAAAACCACATATTATATAAATCTCTCTGAAAATAATTCTAATAATATGCATGCTTAGTGCATTGTCACTTGCAACTTGCTGCCCTTAATGAAGGGGGGTGGTGGGTCCCTAAGTACCAAAATTTGTTTTTAAAAAAAGTGGATTTATGCTGAAGGGCATAGCAGTCACCGAGCAAGTGATCCCTTTACTGTGTAAGACCGCATTGCTTGGAGGGAGGGAAGGTCTCTTTGCCATCATCATTTGCTGCAAAGGATTAAAAAGAGACTTTCCTTCTGCATATACAGCATCCCTTCGAGACTTTAATAATTGATCAATTACTTAAAACAGTAATTAGTGCTCCTCGTTACCCTGCAAGCTAAAAACTTCCTCACTGCATCTCATTAGCAGGACGGAGAGTAAAGATCCATATGATTGAACCAGACACAAGTCTGTCATTAAATTATTTGCTTTTGTGTATATAACCCCTTCAAACTATCACTTTAGCTCTCATCAAAGATTACAGAGGTGGAGTCAACACACAGAGACTCTCCCTGCTTTCTGATGTTTTGCAGGGAATGTGAAGCTGATTACTCAGCCTGCTTCCGCATCAATTGCTGCAACATTCTGCTCGGTGGGACAGTAAAATAAAGCCAATATATACCTTTTTATCTGGGTTGGGCAGCTCAGAAAACCCAACAATGGAGGCCCAAATCAACTCAGCTGCTTCATACCACAAGCCTGCAAGGTAAACAAAAAAAAAAAAGGAATCTGGAGTTAATAAAGGGGAAATATGTAGGATGCCTAAAACGGTAAAGATCTACAGAAAAAGTCATTTTGAATATGTTCTTTTACACCATCATTTTCAATTGTCACTATTTCAGCTGATGAAACGGCAGAGGAGACAGAACAGCATGATTCTGTCTCCCCAGCTCTGCTGTAGTCATTCTTCTGACAGGAGAAAGGCTGAACTATAAACAGCAGATGCAAACAGCATCTGGTGCCCAGTAGTGTAACTCCCACCAACCTAAGGCATTAATCTTATAACCAAGTACTGATATAAGATTAATGGAACCCTAACTAAATAAAAATCAGGCAAACACATATAGTCTTTACTAATCATACAAAATTAAGCCCTGCACTCAAACTCCCACTACTTTTGGGCGGCAGCGATGTCTATAGTACACATCAGCCACAAAACATACAATAAAAAAAACAAAGAAAAAAGTTATACCAAATCCCTATGCACATTTAAATAAAGGGAGTTTTTTTAGTATCACTGCAATGGCCATTAAAGTGTAAAGTTTGTTTAGTTTTTATTAAATTACATAATTTAATGAAGAAAGCTGGTCAAGAAGTCTTTGCATTTTCATAAGGATAGTTGTAAGAGAATTTGATTAGAATAGCCTTACCCAATTTCTGCAGAATTTGTCCTCTGATCTGTACACACACAGACTGCACAAGAATTCTGTCGTTTTCAGTAGCATAATGCCAAGAACCTATTTGTTTCACAAACATGAAATACAAGTCAATACATTTAAAGGGGAGAAAAAAAACCCAAAGTATTTAGACAACAAATATATCCCTATTAGTCTTGACATTTCCTAATTTTAACCTCCTGACTAAGAATACTGATTTCCGTAGCAATTTTTCATAATTTTGGTCGTGGTTTTTTTCATACACAAAAAGCCAACGTTGGTGGTTGCCATATGTTTTTCATTATTTTACATGTGTTTCCTGAGAAAATCAGTTAAGCCCCTAAAAATGCCTGATTGATTTCTAAATTCTACAAAGATTTACCAATCCTGGCTTGACATGGTAGCAAAACTACAGGCAAATCTGTTAGACTAATTCTTTGAGACACCCAGTAATTTGGATATGCACAGGTTGATATGGACTTGAATTGTATCATATCTGAAGGCATATCGCACTTCACACACTGGTGATATATACATAAACATTTGCAATTAGTTCAGTGAATACAAGATCAGTCTGCCTGAAAATCTTCTCTACGTGATGGAGGATGAGAATTGGCTTGTAAGAAGCCAAAATATTTCTTATACTGTGGTGCGTGTATGGCTTAGTTTAGGATTTTGAAATCTTACACTTACAGTATGAGGTTAAAACTTATAATGTTATTAAATGCAATAAATAGCTGATTACATGATTAAGTAGAAACAGCATTTATTACGTAGGGATGATTAGCATATTTAGCTTAGGTATGAACATATAGGTATTAGAAGTCTATATAAAGTATATAATATACAAACAATATAGATCTTCTTGATCTCTATGGATAAATACTAAATCCAGTTATATGGCATTAATATGCTGCTTTTATTTACATTTTTGTCAAGTTTTTTTTTTTTTTTTTTTAAAGGAACAATCGAAACACAGTAAGAACACTACTTGTGCACAGTGAGACAATTTGGCTCGAGTGAACCAAAATTTTTTGGGTGAGATTTCAGTTGATGACAGATTCGGGCTTTGCAGAATTTCAGAACATAGATTACGATTTAGGAATCGACTCAAAAACAAAAAAGGCACAGAAATGGGCCAATCGGTGCAAAACATGTATATGTACATAGCATGTACATATTTTGCAGTACACTAGTATGAGCAATTTCCTGCCACTTGGTTCACAGATCAAATGAGAAAAAGTAACCAAAAGAGGGAAAAATAAGTAGAGCAGAAAAAAAGAAATAATTTTAAAGGAAAATAATCTATTTTTGTATGTTATATATTTATTAAACATATAAGAATATATATATTATAGAGTGCCCCTCCTTTGTCCCCCTCTACTGCTCACTTCTCACTTGATCTGTAAATAAAATTAACATTTAGTGACTGTACCCATCAATTATCTCACGGCAGAATCCAGAGACTTGAGCCAAAAATGTTCTCCATTGCATATTTCGTAATCGGTTTGTAATTCAGATGTATTTTGGCTTGGAATTCGGAATTGCAGCGGAGCACAAAACAAACCTCAAAGTACAATAAGAATTACAGATCCATGCCATGGTGCCTTCCCAGGATAAGCAGCCAAACTGTTTGAGAATGGTTTGGCAAATTACCTGGGGTATGCGAAGGGGTTTTACAGCCTCAGTGAAAAAAAAGTGCCATATATTCTGTTTTATTGCTTTTATTTGCATTGTTGCACTACGTGTGTTGTTCTTCATTTTGAAGTTATTGAAGAGTATCGAGATTGCACTACTACACTCTCAAGTGTAAGCGAATTTATGCTTGCTGTGTGTTTCGCCTGCACTATACAATAACCTTATTAACTTTATATATGTTCTTTGATTTACACCTTTTAACCACACTTGTTTCTTTTTATTACGTTTCAAGAAAGGATTCTTTGGTCTTCTCTTTAGGACGCTTCTCACAAATGGTTCTTTAATTCATCTGATTCGGATTGTTTCTTGCACCCATGGTACTTTTGATGCTTATTTCTTATAACTTCCTAGAATACATATTTCACTCACTTGACAGACAAAGCATCACTACATTTGATTACCCATCTCTTTTCCTTTTTATAAAAAGGTGGAGTGGTTTTCTGTTACCTGCGCTTTTAATTTTATTCAAATTTGACACCTTTTCAATTTCACTTCTGATTACTCTCTGTGTACATTGCATATGTGATGCTACAAAAAGTTTAATTAACAAAACCAATTGGAGACAGGTTTAATTCAATAAGTAAAATTAGCCCTGAGTTTAAATATTTATTAGGGTATCCCTGAATAAATCTGCTAATTAGTTCCCACAAATCCATATGTATGCTTAACGTGGTTTTGTTAGTTTTTCATATATGAAGCTGTTCACTCCAAAACATAGCAGAATTAATGTGTCACTTAACATGTTCTATATGATCAATATATTTCATATTGGCAGGTGTAACAATGTCATTAGGGCAGAACAGAATACGACTGTTTTAGAAGCAAATTTCTTACTATGATTTAAACCTCTCACCTGTTGTTCCTTTGTTGATGATCAAACTGCTTAAAATATATTCTGCTTTTAAAAGCTTTCCTGTGGATAAAAGTGGGCAGAAAGTTTGAATGTGTAGATTTTAATCATAAACACACATATTGAACCTAGTTTCAGATCAGATATTCCCAATGCAGTCATTGAGGATGCAAAAACAGTTTAGTTTTATTAAACTCAGAACTGTTCAAAAGGGTTTTGGGATCCTTCACGTCTTAAGGAATTAGCACACTGGATATCAGATAAACCAATTTCCTTAAAACCTTACAACAATATGACATCTGTAATTATGCATTGCTAACCTAAATTATCAGGAAATGTATCAAGGAAAAACAGGTGCTAAGGGGCAACAGGAGCAAAGTGCTAAATGATGAGAGACATCGCGTTGGTTTCCATGGTGATTGCTCCTTATTTAGTAGTAAACATTAGAAGAGCACCTGTTTTTGCCTTGATAAATCTCCCTCTTAGTGTCTCAGGTTTTCGTAAATATTAAGGCTAGATCCAGATGAAATGCATAGATCTATGAAGTATGAAGGTGTCCTCTTTGTGTAGGCACCTGGTGGGGTAAAAAAAAGTGAAAATGTCTCTGGATGTGGAGCGTTTCAAGCAGAAACAGACTTCTACTACCATGACTACTTCTAAAAGCAGAAGTGGTCATGTTGGTAGGAGTAACCCTTATTATAAGGAGATGGAAACTGTATCCAGAAAAAAGCTATTTGTGCATTATTGTACGTGAAGGGATTTTTTAACATTTTATGGCTTTATAGTAGTTTGTACTACTTATTACACTATGTTTTGTTTTAAGTCTTGCACGTACTCTCTATATGGATATAATTGTGTTGTTATACTCCTCACTCCCAAGAATCTGACCATATTTTTGAGACACTCATTTGGGTCTGCACTCATTTTTATTTTGGAGATTCATATTTATATATAATATAGAGGACATTAGTTGAAAAAAATGTGTTTAGGGAAGATTTTTATGTTTTACTATAAATCCACGTGTTTATTAATATTATAATTGCTAATTGTGTGGGAAAAGGAAACTGAGCAACCACTCTATTGTCCTGCATCATATAGTTGTGTTTATTCTTTTATAACCGTATCTTCTGACTTGCAATAATGTATATAACAGTAAAGATAAATTGACTTTAAATCTATATTAACATATAAATAAATGTTTCAGTAGATGTCATAGGAATATCCAACAAATGACTGTAACTTTGCAGTCTGTACAGTAAAACATAAACAGTGAGAAGTTTACTTATAATAAATAAAATTAAAAAATACCAAATAAGTGCAGTGTTTTGTTAGCTAGTCAAGTGGTCAGATAGCATAGCTCTGAGAAAGTACCCAGCCTGTGTGCTATTTTATAGGAGCTCTTCATCACAAGTAAAGCAATTCAGATACCCCTGTTTGAAACCAGCAGGGAATATTTGTTAGAGAACAAAAGCCCCAATTAGTATTTTCCACGCCCTTTTCACAAATCTCTCTACCTCTTTTGGCTCAGAAACTCTTTATCTTGGCTCCTTTGTAAGTGCAAGGGGAGGTTGGCTCTTGGAGTGAAAAGAAGCCCCTGAGTTCAGAGGAATATCATTCCTATAATAGCACAAAGTGTTCTCTTGAAAGTCAAGTAGTCTCTAATTAGGACTAAGCCAAGAAAACAGAGAAAGATCAACGAGCACGTTTCATCACCTGAGTTTACCGAGATGCGAGCTTGCCGTATAACAACTTGTGGTGCAATTGGTGTATCGGGCCATATTTTATGCAATGCCTTGGCAACCCGCAGGAGCCTGGTGGAGGCATCTGTCCAGTAAAGAAATCGGTCAATAAGGAACACGATGGCTGCGGCTGTAGTACTGTCGGCAACTGCAATGGAGGCCTTCAAGAATACCTATCAAAGAAAGAAAACCCCCAGGATCACACACGTCACTTGTCAAATATCAGCAACAGTGTTACATGACAGACAGGAGGATATCCGTATGAAATTATTACCTTTATACCATGTGTTAAGTCTCCAAAAGAAAAACAAAACAGTTATTTGTTAGTGAATGATAACACAGCCAATAAACTATATTATACAAATATGAGATTAAGAAATAGCAGTTTAAACATCAATTTAGAGGCAGATTTTATCATAAAAGTTTGCCTCATGGAAATCTGCTAGAACATTTAAATTCCTGGTCTCAAAAGCCTCAACACTCACAAGAAAAGAAAAAACTGCGGATTCTGAGATGTATTAATTTATTATGTGGGAAAGAGTCCAGCTTTTTGGGGGTGATTTCAAAGATATTCCAGCAAAAGCAGATCTATGGATTGTATTTAAGTAAGTTCAGTAATTTCGACCATTTGAGACAAGTGATGTATACATAATACTGATTTTAATTAGCATTATACATTTCAGTTATTTTCATATGTATTGAAATAGATCCTAACTAATGGCAATACTTTTCCCTGTCCTGCATGACAGCACCAAGATAAAACAAAATGCCACATCTAAAATCCAGGTTTACGGTAGGGGTCACATTCCTCCTATTTATTTTAAAAAGCCCACTCGTTTTGGGCTTGTAAACACTATTGAAATGGTTAGTTGAGTGTGGAACAGGGAATTTGCACTTTGAGTCCCATAAAAGATTTCTGCTTGGGCTGATCAACCAAACATTGCAAATGTATAATAGAACACTGATTTAATTATACAATTTATCTAGTTTACAGAGAGTCTTATATCAGGACTTCTCATTTTAGGGGTTACCATTCAGTCATATATTATCAGCCTACTTGAAAGAAGATTTTGTGTTCAATTCCATTCAATCATTCCACCCAATGTCCAAACTACATTTGAAAGTACAGGTTAGCAACAAAGGTGACCACCTAAAAAGTTATTTTACAGTGTCCAGGTTTTAGCTACAGCAAGTAGTTACCGGAGTCAATGCCCAAGCTTTTTGTCATGACAATAATAGTAGATTGTTTGTAGCAGCAGTCTTTCTATTTGCGTCTCAGCTTTATTATAATAGTTACAGATTGATCAATAAAAAACAACTTTTCATTTGTGGGTTTTCTCACAAGTACTAAATTCAGATATCTTTTAGTAATACAATATTTACATATAGGCAGTAGCAGAATATATTTTTATCCCATGTGTAGGGCAGTATCAGTATCCAATTTTACTCCAAACACCATTGATACATTACTCTTTTTACAATATAACATTGATAAGTGGCTATACAAGAGCTGCTGGGCCTCTAGTGTTACTCGTTATTTATTAATAAAGTTGAACAGGTTTGTCTGTATTTTCCAAAATTGACAGATATTTTTGAAACCCAGAGACTCAACTACTGTGTTTTGATTCTTTGTATCCGATGATCAAGGTATATCTACCAACTGATGGGATGGGAGGAGGACATTGCGAAACAGCATGACCAAAAATTTAGAGCAGTTAGTTTGGCACGTATATTCTCTGAACTGAAAATTCACCAACGTGCCCTCCGGCCTTCACATTCACAGATATTCCCGAGGAAGATCTGGCCCATAAAATAGCTCAGTATTTATGGTTGGCATGAATACAATTATTTCCTTTTTAAATAAGGGACTTGAAGTTTTCTGATCCAAGAAATATGAACACACAATCGTAGAAGCATTATGACAAAGAGGAGTATTCTCCACAGACACACACCTTAAAACACAGGTTTCCACCTGGTGTAGAAAAGATTACCTGTTATTTTACAACAATACAGGAATGTCTCCCAACACCTGTAAGCTGCACTTGCAGACTTTGCCTTTGATAACAAGCATACTATGTATTTAAGAACAGAACATCCCCTAATCTAGTTTTCCTCCTCTTCTCCTCTTCTTATATTAGAGTACAAAAGCCTGAAAGAGAGTGACCTGCCAAACAAAAGGGTTTTGAGTTGCTCAGAAAAGCAGACTTAGTGAAGGATGGACGGAATCCAAGTGGCCCTATTATTTCCACTTGCACTAATTAGACATTTTTCTGTCACCTATTGAGCGCTGCTGAGAGGCCAGTGCCACTGAATTCATTGCTAAAGTGTTTACAGAAGTTTGCATCTGTTTGTGTTTCTTCAGGAGGAAAATAAGCACTTCAATAGCATTGTTGAAAATCTAAACCAAGCATCCCATTCTGGAGTGCCTGTAGCTCTGCAGCTGCATCATTCCTGAGAGCCCATGGTGTCATCTCAAAAACCAAACGGGGTGAAATGGAGAAATCCAGCTCCTCACGAAAGAATGTTTACAAGCAAGTAGAATGCTTTCTATGCAAACGGTAGACTGCAGTGTTACTATTGCAAAGACATACACTTAATTTTCAATACACATGTGTGCATGGATGTATACACATACACAACAACAAAAAACGTGGATATTATCTTTCTGTCTTGCAGACATATAGAAAACGATGAGGAAGCAAAGGACAATCTAGATTTCTATTGAAAGAAAAGTGATGTTACAAGTGCATATATAAAACATTGACAAATATACTTAAAACTACAAAATAAATAAAGTGTAAATCACGGGACTGAAAAAACGTGACCAGAATTCTTTTTTCATCAGCACTTTTTTAAAGCTTCATGATGAAATTGCTTTGGAACAATGTTCCTTTACTTGCATCATGACAAACAATGCCCATGGTGGAGAATGCATGCCACGTAGTAAGTGGATGAATGGCCTATGTTTTCGATTCACTGCCAGGTGTTGAAGGAATTCAGTGACAATGTAAGGCTCCCTGCATTGACCACATTTATACATTCTGCAAATAATGCAGATTTCTTAAAGGCTTTATACAGCAACTGACAGTGCTACACATATTACACAGAATGGAAAGTTTGCATACATTTTCTGATCTTTTGCTTGCATGCCCTGCCCTCTTCAAGTCTTTACAACTCGTGTTTTGGGTACCAGCACTTATAATCAGGATAATGATGTTTTCTTAGGCCTGCTATTCTCAGCACTGTTACAAATTATCATAAGAGTAAGTTGATTTCTATTACCATTCCAATACAAAAGCAATAAAAATGAGGTTTGGCATGAGTATATTATTGTTGTAATCATTGGGGCTGTTCAGATAATTGTTCTAGACAGCTGTAAAGCTGGCCATATTGACACCAAAGCAGATTTATTTTTGGACAAGATAAACAGAAGTAAGGGCCATGCTTTATAATTTACAAACATGTCTGTGTTCAAAAACGAATATAGAAAAAAATGGAATTGTGGAGCACACCCCGAACACATGCATTTTTCAACAGTGGTGTTACCGTAAAGACTAAAATATATATAATATATAGACTAAGGACAAGTGCACACAATTTTTTTTTTTTTTAAATATACAGTTTAGAATTTTACATGGTTACTTAAAATCACCTATCTTAGCAAACAAATATGGGGATTCAGTTACACCATATGGAAATAATGAGTTGACCCACCACTACGTCACAGTACCCCAATATCAATGGGTTCTACACTAATTTTAATATAAGAAATTAACATGCTAACTGTAATACTTACTGCTTAAAGGGTAACTATAGTGCAAAGGAAAAAAAGTTGTTTTCCTTGCACTATAGTTCCCTATAATGCATCCCTCCGTTAAGCCCCCCCAGTGTCACTTACCTTGTTGGTGCTGGTTCAGGCTCAGCCTCCACTCCACCCTGCTGATATCAGCTGGCGGGGGAAGACTAATGCGCATGCACGGCAATGTATGATGCTGGATGTCCTCCATAGCGTGAGAACATCCAGCGTCAGTTAGGGGACCAAAAGTCGCATAATGACACAGAAGTCCCTCTAGTGGCTGTCTGGTAGACAGCCACTAGTGGTGGAGATTACCCTCAAAGGTAGTTATTGCAGTTTATTAAAACCTGCAATGATTATCTTTGCAGGGTTAAGGAACCTGGAACTATGCACCTAGACAACTTCAATGAGCTGAAGTGGTCTGGGTGCCCATAGTTTCCCTTTAAACAGCTTATATAGACTCTTCTCAATTTGTGCTTTCCTGTGGTCAACTCCAAAGGGGCACCCATAGTGGATGGGTAGGGTACTCAGCCCAATAAGAATCTAATCTGGATTCCAAATCAAATCTACACAGAAAAAAAGTTCTGGGCCACACCTGGAACATGTATTTCTCAGTAGCAGAGCTGTCTTAAAGACCAAAAGTATAGAAATTACAGCTTAAGGAACAGTGAGCACACAATAAAATACAGTTTTACATTTTACAAGGCTAATTAAAATCACCTAGCAGTTTTCATAAATTGTGGTCATTCCTACTGACTTTTTTCCTATGGGACTGTCATATGCCTACTGTGGTGATGTGGTAGTGGTCTGCTTAGAAGGCTCCTCTGCTTTCCCAGGGTGATGGAAGATACATCATAATTTGCAGGCTTGTAGAAGGACTGTGATCATGTCTTCCCTGGCATTAGAGTAGACCATACCCAAGTATTCTGAGTAATACTCAGCATGTGCCCTCATAGTGGGCTTAGAGTAACAGTGTAGACACCGTAGCATATAGCCTATATCCATGCTGTGGAATAAGTCCTCCAGTATTTGCTTTTTATTTTTGTGACCCACGGTCAAAAGAATCACATTCAGGGCTCCAGAACTGCATAAGTTCAGCCATATAAAGCACTCATAGTTCAATGTGATTTGGAAAGACTGGGTGTTTGTGGCCTGCCAGGCCGGAACAAACTACTGCATTTCAAGCTCACCAAGTTTCTCAAGAGTAGAGGTAGCCTAAGTCCCTGATTCCAAATAAAGTACATTGGTTCCACCTGTGAAGGTGTAAAGTAATGCAGTTATTGATTCAGGGCTATCTGCTAGAAGCAAAATCAATACAATACTTGTCCTAACGATGGCTTGGCCCGACAACCTTGACACACCATTGTAAGATAGAGTTGTTTCTCTGGAGTTTGTATAATATGGAGATATATCGATTCCATTTTTGAACACAATAATAGACAATCTTTTTGCTAACATTGACAGTACCTGTAGATTTAACAGCAGACAACTGTCAGTCATATTAATTTGAGAAAAGTCTCTCTGACTTTACATGTGATTGCACTGATCATATGCCCTGTTCAATTCAACCTCTCTGACTGTAGCAACGTTTAGAGTAAAATAGAAATTGTCATGGAGATCACTGCAGAAATAGTGCAAATTTATGGAAAATGTATAGATAAGATGTAATGGTTGAAAGTGTGGAAAACAGGAATTCCTTTTAATGGGCCACTACTTATCTATGACTTTTAATGTTGTCATGCGGGTAATAAAACAGACAACTCTTTTTACAGGAAGAAAGTGCACATACAGAGCAGACAATGGGTTTAATGTGGCAAGAAAGGGTTCGGTTACTTAGCAACCTTTCCTCCAAAGCACAAAGATGTGTGAAATTTAAAGAAAAACCACAACTAATAAACTAGCAACAGCATTGACAAGGATAAGAAAAAGCAGATGAATGAAGTTTAAACTCTGATAATACTATCTCTTAAACCAACCTGGGCCTTGCTTACAACTTCACTTTATCTATCACCCACCATGGTTCCTCAAATAGAAAGCTACATCAAGGGTCACACAATTACATGTTTCTCTGCACAAAAAAGGAACAGAGCACAATCTCTTCCCAAGTACTGGCTCCATAGTAATGTGATACAAAATGTTTACCCTCAGAATGAGGTGAAACATGGAACGAAGTGTATTGAGAAGATGCTCACCAGCATTTTGTGTAAACTGTTCTTATCACATTGAATAACTTTCTTTCAGTTACTTTAAATATTGTTTTAGAATATAAGATATATACAATTTAATGTTGAAATGTGATCTCTTTAAAGGCAGATAGTCTATGGAAAATAAAAGATATGCTTTTTACTTGGAAGTTTACTGTGATCCCTGTGTGAGATGTCAGCCTAAAAATCACATTTGTTTATCTATTTATTTAAATATATATTATTGGATTTTTTTTTTCATTCTTAACATTTAATCTACAAGTGATAGTGGATTTCAACAATGTAGACCATCAAACACTGCAGAAATTGTATATGTCCATCAGCTCTGCAGACATAGAACAAACAAACAAATAGGACAAAGCTGAGAACAAATATTAGATTTCATATTTTAGAGTATACAGGGTCATCCTGTAAACCGGTCTTGATTTTGGCATCTCCCCGGTAGTCCAGTAAACCCCAAAAGAATAGAAGAGTGGAACCTCAGGTGTCATATCATGCCTATCATATAGTGGAAGCAGAGTCTAGCATATTGACACACTTATTCCACATTGAGTACATAGCATTGTTAAAGCAAAAACATCAAGGCAATGCCCCTTTCCATTTTACATTGCCATTTTATTGATTCCAATGTCTGAGGCCACGTGTCTCCAGTTTCTAGTAATAGACATTTTAAGCGGGACTAGCAACCGAGGATTCTCACCTCTCCGGGTACTCCACCAAGCACACAGCTGCATCAGCCTCACGCTGCTCCGCTGGACTGTAAACCAAGCTGCTGTCCATACCCATCAAACAGGCCCACACACCTATGTGCACACACATAGAGGACGGTCCACACTGACGCGGTGAGCCAAAGAGGCATGCGGGAAGAAACACGGTGCCCTGCAAATGGGTCTGGACTGTGCCAGACAGCTATGGGCATAGGCTGAGTAGGACAGGCACTGGGGGTCACTAGATATGCCAGAGCATTAGTCTGTCATCCCCTCTCACACACAGCACTGCTCTCTAGCTACTGTATGTGATTATAAAATCTGTTTTATGCCTATATTCATATGTCTCCAATTCCATCTGATCCCACTAACCCTCAGCGCCCAGTAACTAAAATGTCTGATGGCCTCCTTTCCTTAAGCGATGTATAGTACCCGTGTATAACTAGCATGTGCAGTCTTAGCATAAAACTTTAATGATTGTGCAGCTACTTCACTAAAAACCTGCACCAGGTTACCATTTATAAATTACTTACTCTATACAACAGGTTAATTCGTACTCAATGGCTAACTAGTCTCATATCGCCTAACTGGTAGCCATAGTTTGCACGGGTAAAGCCTCACACTCTACTAAGCCTAACCTTGCTACAACAAGCATATACACTCATATGGACTACTAAACAATGACTACGTTAGGCTTAACCAGCATATTTAACGCTTTCTGGGTCCACAAATAGTTAAGGTGCAGCAAGTTAGCATATTACTACATACTAAGCAGTTAAATAATCTAACTGCACTAGCTTGATCTAAGAATTAGCATTTTGCTACAATATTCACCGTACTGTTATAAACGTGGACTCAGTAATGTTTTAGTATGTTAATAATTTTACATTATAGTTACATAATCGAGAACCTACACTGTTGAAATGATGATCTCAATTACTTAAACATGTGCCTGACCAACAAATGCCACAACCTGTATTGCAAATGTATTCCAACTTACCCTGATGTCGCTGTTGAGGCACACCAAGGCTATTTGTCACTTTTGTGCACAACAAAAATAAAGAATTCAAAAAAAAAAAAAAAGGTGTCCGTGTAATGGTGTAATCAATCTTATTCATTTCACCTGGCACATTAACATTTGGAATTGCTGGAAACCATGGGGGACACATGCTTAAAAAAGTTAAAATACTTTATTTCCATCTTAATAAGGCTAACATAACTAAGATGTGTTGTGTATGATGACTGTGAAGAGGAGGAGCTAAAACACAAAGAGGAGTTAAATACTTCTACTGTATACACAATAACGTGAGTAGGACTTTATTCTGGTTTCTGTTAAAACAAAGACTTCTACAACCTACAATTTATGCATAGTTTGTCTAGCAAGTAACATGTAACTGCACTGGACCAGGAAATTCTGTAAATAATTTTGACAGTTCATCTGGAAACACATTTGTTCCCTTCCAAGGGCCCACTTGAGAGCAATTTATAAAGTGTATTATTATTATTAACTTATTAACTTAACAGTGTTATACACTAAAGTGAAAATTCAAGTTGAATTTCACATTTTAGGCCAAAGCAGCTAATCTGGAGTTAGAGAATTTTTATTTATTTTTTTACAATTAAGCTATTTTGGACTTTAATTTGAAAATCACTATAAGATTACACTTTAGTGAATAACGGTGTTGACGAATTTTATCCAATATATCATTTGCTTCTTTCTCAAGTGAGTAATTCTAAGAATTACGGACACTTTTTGTATAATGAAACCATACATTTCAAATTTAGTATTATTAAACAACATTTGAACATAATCTGTTATTTGCTATTTTTTTTTTAAATCAAATAAACTCAAACTTCTGAAGAAAAAAACCTGCATACTACCCACCTTTCTGACAGCCATTTTATGTATCTTTAATCTTACCCAATGTTCACCATTTTACAACTGTTAATTACTGTGGGAATGGTTAAGAAAGGGTTTTCTTAAAAAAAAAAAAAAAAAATTAAAAAAAGTTCATATACATGAACAATAAAAAATAATGAGATATAACAAAGTTTTTAGTAAAATATAAAAAAATAAATAAAAATAAATGAAGGCAGCATTCCTTTCATGATGATAAAGGAATTTGAGGATTCTGATCATGCAAAACATTTTTTTTTTTTTATTGAAAAACCATTTAACACATAGAATTTTAACACTTTCCTTTTTAACTGATGTTTGTGTTAGTCCTTGAGGGAATTGGCAAAAGATATAGCGCTGCACAATCTCAGTTTTACTTATACCAGTTTCACGTAGAGGCACCTTTTTACCTTCATATGTTCTCTAAGACTACATCCCTGAAAATTCAAGAGATTACACAATTGTGTGAAGTGATGCCACCTAGTGGAAAAGGTACCAAATTACAAAACTTATTAGCTAACAAGGCTTACACTGCTATTGATATTGTACCATTAGTTTCACACAAGCAAGAGTGCTCTTGCACACTAACATGATGACCAAATGAACATTATGTGAATCACACAAAAGGGCCTGACCCTAAATTGAAATCAGAGTTAATGTTTCAAGAAAGGAACCATAGATGTTGGAGCAACCCTTATCTTAAGGATAGAGCTTATAGATTAAAGGTAAAACTAAACAAAAAAACAAAAAACAAAAATAATTACTATACAAAAATAGGGATAGTGTAATAAAATCGAAAAGAAAGATTCTTTAAAAGACAATACTATAACATAGCCAATGCTTATCTTATATGGAATTCCTTTATTATTGCTAGGACAAATGTTACATGGTATGTCTACTATTTGTCTAAAAAGGGGGGGAGGGAAGAAAGATTGAATACAACCACTTCTTAGAAGGACATGTATGTCCTAAAATGTACTTCAATGTGAGTGCTCAATAGGGCTTCTTGTAAGGAAGAACATAGAAAGAATGTTTCAACTTGTATGATGACAATAACATTTCCTGCTAACAGAGTAGCGAAACAGTAGTAGTGTAAAATGAGCTGGATGATGAATAGAGATGGTAAACAGCGGGACTGCAATCTAATGTAATTAAGTGTGGATCCCCAGACCCTACACAATACCAGTGAACCCCACCCTCTCCCTGTTATAAACTAGGTACCGTATGGGTAATTGCTGAAAACAATCAGTCCGCTAGTTTTCCGTAGCTAACGATTGAACCAACTATGATAGTAAATACAATCGCTATGGCTACTAATCCCTTATAACCAGTGTGACCTTGAAAGGGTCTATCAATAGGTACATAAGCATAAGGCTATGACCCTAAGTGGAATTTATGAACTCAAATTTCAGACACAAAAGTTGGGGCTATCAACCAAAGAATGTGATAATCACACGTAGGGCTTTTAAGGAGCCCACCTGTAGCTCCAGCATGGGTCACTCCATCCCTATCAACACTCATGTTTTTGACCATACCCCTCTCAATGTTTAGCACTGTTTTATGTCAGTAAGGTAAACAGGATTTTGATTTCATACCGTCTTTTGTATGTTTCTCACAGATTGTGTTTTTGGATACATTGTTGAACAAATACATTTAATTTTAAAGGATCACTATAGTGTCAGGAAAACAAACTCGTTTTCCTGACACTATATCATCCTTAGGACCCCTAACCCTTAGGGCCCTCCTCCCTTGGCACTGAGGGGGTTAAAACCCCTTTCAGCTACTTATCTTAATCCAGCGCCGGGCTCCCTCAGCGCTTGTGACCTCTCCTCCCCCGCCGACATCAGCTCCCGAGTGGAGCGGAGGAATGCGCATGCACGGCAAGAGCCGCACGTGCATTCAAACAGTCCATAGGAAAGCATTTCTCAATGCTTTCCTATGAACGTTCTGCACGCCTCTAGTGGCTGTCAGGAAGACTGTGAAACTGCTATGTTTACATCTGAAGGGTTAAAACCTGGGGGACCTGGCACCCAGACCACTTCATTGAGCTGAAGTGGTCTGGGTGACTATAGTGTCACTTTAAGTATAATAATAAAAGTTATGTTTTCAGGTTTTGTGCCATCTAACTTACCCTATTGAGATTTATAGTTTCTTGTCTCTCATTTAATATAAACAGTGCTGTATTCTGACATTTAGCAATATAATTATCTTATCATTGCTGAATGTCAATATCTATCTTTTTTCATGCTTTGCACTACCAAAAATAATGTAAAAAACTAAAAGTTTTTAGGTTGCCCTATCTTTACATGGGCCTTAGGTGAATAAAGATTGTCCATGTTACTCCTTTTATCTACTTCTCATCTTTTGATCCCTTTCTAGGATATCCTACAAAGAAGGTTTCTATGGAAAACACAAACATTTCTCCGATATATTTATCCAGATCTTTTTCAGTTTGACAGGTCTAAATTATTATTATATTACGTAACATTCCTTGTTTTTCAAATCCACTTATTTCATTGAAACATTCTTATTTAGAATTTCTGGTGTGTCCTGCAAGTTATATGTTTTCCGAAAACCTCTTAAATAATCAAATGAATGCTTAAACTAGTCCCATGAAAGGTCTGTTTATTCTATAACATTATTTACATCTAAATGGCATACAGATCTCATCCTGTTCTAAATGAGTACACGTGATGAAATTCAATTACATCCACATTTCTCTGACAGTCTGTTGTGTGTTTGTGCATCCTATTTTCCGTTGAAATCATACAAATAGAGAGCGGCTTCTGATTTCACAGGGGAGTTACCAGCTGGTGACAACATGAACAAATCCTCCCTTTAACGAAATATCTTGCAATGTAGGGCGAAGCGGAACAAAAGGGGAAATGTGCATTATACAGCGACACAGGGAAACATCCCACCATCCTTTGTAAAGGCTCAAAGTGCAAAGAAGTTAGCAAAAGAGGTGGTTAGTAATTTACACACCACCCAAATAATCCTTAACTAAACTCCCCTTGTTCTTGCCCTCTGGAAAAAAAAAGAGGACATCATAATCTGATGGGACATATATGCTGTTCTTAAATTACTAAATAGCAAATTTTTATTATTTAAAAACATACATTCTCGTTAGCACTTTGTACTAATTTGATTGTGTATTTTTTTACTATGCTGCTTGAAGCCTTGAAAATTTACGTAAAATGTCGGTAATGACAAACTTTACCAGTCTGCATGGTGTTTGGTGCATGTACTAAGTGTCTGTGTAGGATAAATAAAAGGGTAGCATTATGTAAATGTGTCAGCTGCCCTTATTAGGAGCATGTACTTGTAATATCTGAAAAATGCTTAAATTCAGCAAGGCATTTCCTCATTGGCCCAAAGTAGCACTTTTGGTGTGGAAGAAGTGACACCATCCTCTATAAATATTGCTGTCCCTCTCTCAAGCAGTTAGCACTCCTGGCACCATAAACACTACAAGATGTTTGACTACATTTTTGCGGTTCACCAGACAACTCCCCACCTCCTCTACATCAGCCAGAGAGTAAGAAGTGAAACCATTCTAAAACGGTCTGACTGCAAACAATTGGGGTGTGGGGGGTATGACAAGGAACTCCTGGCACCATAACCACTATAACTCATTGTCATGGTTATGTTACTTGAAGTGTTTCCTGAATATTCGAGTTTATATCAAAACAGTATTTTTATATATAGAATGTCCCATAAAACCCTGCCAGCCTAGGTGAACAAGATGGGTAATTTCTCTGCAAGAGAAAGAAAGTGTTCTACCCAAGGTGAGAGTCACCATGGAAGGCTAGGGTGCAGAAGTAAGCTATTTCTTTTCCGTTCATGACAAATATGCCACCAAGTTGCCTGGAAACAGTGGAGAGCAAAACGCACTAGGTCAAATTTTATTTCAAGCATTTTACTATATATTTATTTAAAACTCAGACCTGTTTTGAAAAAACTGACTGAACCAACATTAATTGGAGATGCATGCATCATTCCAATTCATGTGGATTAAAGCAACAACAATTCAGAACTGAAACACATGCTGGAGGAGGGGGAAAGTTGTTAATTCCTTTATCCTGTGCCTCCTGTCCTTCATGCTATTATAAGTGTGAAGTATAAATGACTCCATAAGATTAAATGATACTTCAAAGTGCATAGAGAGGGAAAGGAGGCTCCATGTTGACAAAGTAGGAAACATTCAGGCTTCCCAGGCCTTGTGTTTGAGGGGGAAGGGACAGAGATAGAAAAAGCTTGTGAATAGTGCAAACTGGCATGAGGCGAGGATTTCAGGTCTCTATAGTCCCTGACCCTGAGATGTGCTTTGTTTAGCAGGGCCAGCTGCAGTTATCAACAGATGTTTCGGCAATAAATAATTGGTATCATCTCAGAAAAGGCCCATCTACCTGTGGAGAGAGCATAATGCCAAAAACACGGGCTTGCTATTATAGCCACATTAATCTCTCATCTACCCAGGTTTCTTGGGGCGTTTTACCGCAGGTGCTTTTTCTGGGAGAATCGGAACTGTACGCTTCTAAGTTAAGAAGCTTTGCAGGGGTCAAAAAGGTCAAAATCAGTCATAAATTTCTGTCGAAGGTCACAAAAAAGTAGAAATAAAATGACAATACAGAATTAGTTTAACGCTGCAACAGGATCAGACAATTCTAAGGGGCCGGCTTAGAAAGAGAATAGTCTAAAAAACATACAAATACAGTGAAAGACATATAATAAGATCTACAACATTCATTAAAACATAGCTTTTAAAGAAAACTGTCCACACAGAACCTGTTGTAAAACAACTTTTTTTACCTTTACATTGTAAACATATATTCGCAATGCTCTTACAGATTAATTAATTACACTTTAGTTTATTTAGCACTAACACTATTTAATTTTCTTGTAGGACCCACCAATATTGGGAATCGTGCACATCAGCGATCGCCAAGGACAGTCCCGCATTTTGTGGGTCTGTCCCATGTCCCGGCCATCTTCATTCCCGGACAATGTAATGTCCCGGAATGAGCTGGGCCCTATATTAGTGAAGAAGGAGCCCGCTGGCATCCCCACTATGCCAGTGCCGCGAGCTCCCATTTGCTGCCCGCCGATGGATATGTGTGAGCGACAACCCTCCCTCTCTCCCTCTGTCCCACTCTCGCTCACCTCACAGTGCTGCGAGGAAGTGAGGTCACACGCGATGACGCCACTTCATCCCAGCGCTCTTTGCAGACGGCCGCGCGGGAGGAAAGAGAGAGAAGCTACCAGGACCAGGTAAGTGCATGGAATGAGGGAGGGGGCTGAAATCTTTGGATCATGGAGTCACTAGTACTACTATTGATTCCATGATAAAGATTTCATTTCCCTCCCTCTCATTGAGTCAGTAGTGGACACAAAATTGGGAAATAGAAATAAAATGGGGGGAGGAATGGACATAAAAATATGGGAGAATAGACCTGAAATATGGGGGGATATAAAATATGGGGGGGAATGGACATGAAATGAGGGGTGTGCATAATCTATGGGGGGATATGAAATATAGGGGGGAATGTACACTGAAGCCCACGTTATGCCGCTGTGTCCGATGTGAAGAGGGGATCAGGGAGGGCCAAGAAAGTGTCGCTGAATGGCATTTTCAAATGTGGTCACCCTACCCTAATCAAGCCTCAGAATTGAGGCTCTGTGCTGCACTGCTGATATGCTATTAAAAAAAAGTGTGCCGAAAATATCATCGCCATTCCACCAGTTAGGAAGAAAAAAATATATTTCTTTATTAATGAGGCAGCACAGTCTCAGTATCACTATTAAACAAAAGAGGAGCAGGAGAGGATAACTTAATTTTACCCACTACTGAATTCAGTGGCGTACACACAATCCATGGTCCCCCGGTGCGGAACTGATCCATGGGCTCCCCCCTCCGACAGACACACACACAGACACATACATAAAAACACACAGACACACAGAGACATATACATACACACAGACACATACATAAAGGCAAACATATACATATAGACATAAAAAGACACGTACATACAGACAGACACACATATAAGCAGAGACATACATACACACACATACCGACACATACACAAACACAGACAGACACACAAACACATACATACAAACAAAAATGCACATATACAAAATGTTTAAGTCACTCTCCTGTTTCCTACCTTTTAGGTGCAGAAGGGTGACTTTCCCTGGGGTCCAGTGGTGGCTCAGGCTGGTGGGAGTCAGAGTTCCCACCTTGACTCCCTCTTCTTCCTCTCACGCGGCTCTCTCTGGTAGCTGGGAGGAGTGGCAGTCACTTCCTCCCAGCTGTGACCGGTCACGCTATTAAAGCGCCGCACACTGACCGGGGCCCCCTGGAAATTCATCTGCATCGGGTGGCCCGAACAGCATGGGCCACCCAATGGGCCCCTTGAACGTGCGGCCCCCGATGGTTTGCCTGCGTGCCGGGGCTGCAAAAAAAGGCGGCAGGGCGGCCCCTGAGACCGCGGTATGTACGCCACTGACTGGATTAGTTGATAATTGGTATTGACCAGTGATTTGTTCAGAAGTTGTGTGATATTGTAACTGTGGTAGGAAAACTGCTAAGCTTGGATATTCATAAAGGTGACATAGAAATCCTTGTCAACAAATGTAAGGTGTCAGTGGATTAATTGGAAGCAGAAGCCACACTGCTAAGGGAGTATGATGGACCTACTCCTAAAGCTACTTATAACGATGTCATTGAAGAATTTTAGTTTTAGTCCATAACACCTTCTGTGTGGCGTCTTCTTCTCTAGAGCATACAGACGAGGAAACCATAATAGTCTGTAGGGGGTCCTGACAACTTTATTGATGACAATTTGGTTGCGGCAACATTTTGATTTAGTTTCTGTTGTAAAAATTCCCATGTACCATGCACTTTGTGTAAAAATGTGTACTGAGATTTGTTACCGTTATAACAGCTTATTTATTTTAACCCCTTCAGGACTGACCTGTTTTGGCCATGTTGTACGTTAAGGACCAGGGCTCTTTTAACACTTTTGTGGTGTTTGTGTTTATCTGTCATTTTCCTCTGTCTCATTTACTGTTCCCATACAAGTTATATATTGTTTTTTTCAGGACAAAAAGGCTTTCTTTACATACCATTATTTGTATCATGCCATATAATTTACTTTAAAAAGAATAATAAAATATGGTGAAAAATTTAAAAATCTTTTACTTACATACAAAAGCTAATGAAAAAAACTGCTAAATAGAGTCAAAATGTTGTCCTGAGTTTAAAAACACCCAGTGTTTATGTGCTTTCTTTTGCAAGTTATAGGGCTACAAGTACAAATCAGAAATTGCTGTTTCTAAATATATATTTTTAAAATGTATCAATAGTGACATTGTAACACTGCTATCTTTCATAAATCTCTGAATCACACTGCACATGTACATATTTTTTAAAGTAGACAACCCAGGGTATTCAATATGGGGTATGTCCAGTCTTTTTTAGTAGCCACTTAGTCACAAACACTGGCCAAAGTTAGTGTTCATGTTTGTTTGTGTGTGAAGAAAGTAAAAAGCTAAATTGAACGCTAATTTTGGCCGGTGTTTGTGACTAAGTGGCTACTAAAAAAGACTGGACATACCCCATTTGCACTACCTTGGGTTGTCTTCTTTTGCAAATGGTATGCCATCATGGGGGTAATTCTCATTCCTGGGCTACCATACGCTCTCAAAGGCAACATAACCAACCTGGCAATTTTTAATGTAAAAATATTTGACCCTTATATTTGACCTTGTAACTTTCAACAACGCTATAAAATCTGTACATGGGGGGTACTGTTATACCCAGCAGACAAAGATTTGTGTTTTAAAACAGTAAAATGTATTACAACAACAATATCAGTGAAAGTGCCGTTTGTGTGTGAAAAAATGCAAAAAAAAGTCATTTTCACTAACAATATCATTGCTGTGATATGTTTTACTGTTTTGAATTACTAATATTTGTGTTCAGCAAAGTCTCCCGAGTAAAACAGTAACCCCCATGTACAGGTTTTAGGGTGTCATAGAAAGTTACAGGGTTAAATACAGTGCTAGCAAATTAAATTCTCTGGACTTTCGGCTTGGGTTGTCAGGCAGGTCCCTCAAATTGCAATCAATAAAATTACTTAATTATGTAAAATATTAAATAAATACGCACGTAGAATTTAAATAATATGCATATTTATATATTTGAAGTCTACGAGTATATTTATGAAATTATTTATGTATATTATATATATATATTTCATATTTTGATTTATTTATATATACACATAGATTTATATATGAATTAATTCTAAGTGTATTTTGATATAAATATATATATATATAAATATAAATATCAAAATATAGTTAGAATAACATTTCATATAGATATAATTTTTTTTACATTTTTTATTTTTACATTTTTAAAGTTATTTTAATATACTTATTATTTGAATTTTATAATAATATATATACACAATATATATAGTTATTATACACTGCTCAAAAAAATAAAGGGAACACTTAAACAACACAATGTAACTCCAAGTCAATCACACTTCTGTGAAATCAAACTGTCCACTTAGGAAGCAACACTGAGTGACACTCAATTAGCAAGACACCCCCAATAAAGGAGTTGTTCTGCAGGTGGTGACCACGGACCACTTGTCAGTTCCTATGCTTCCTGGCTGATGTTTTGGTCACTTTTGAATGCTGGCGGTGCTTTCACTCAAGTGGTAGCATGAGACGGAGTCTACAACCCACACCAGTGGCTCAGGTAGTGCAGCTCATCCAGGATGGCACATCAATGCGAGCTGTGGCAAGAAGGTTTGCTGTGTCTGCGTAGTGTCCAGAGCATGGAGGCGCTACCAGGAGGCAGGCCTGTACATCAGGAGACATAGAGGAGGCTGTACGAGGGCGACAACCCAGCAGCAGGACCGCTACCTCCGCCTTTGTGCAAGGAGGAACAGGAGGAGCACTGCCAGAGCCCTGCAAAATGACCTCCAGCAGGCCACAAATGTGCATGTGTCTGCTCAAACGGTCAGAAACAGACTCCATGAGGGTAGTATGAGGGCCCGACTTCCACAGGCGGGGTTTGTGCTTACAGCCCAACACCTTGCAGGACGTTTGGCATTTGCCAGAGAACACCAAGATTGCAGAAAGCAGGTTCACACTGAGCACATGTGACAGACGTGACAGAGTCTGGAGATGCCATGGAGAACGTTCTGCTGCCTGCAACATCCTCCAGCATGACCGGTTTGGCAGTGGGCCAGTAATGGTGTGGGGTGGCATTTCTTTGGGGGGGTCGCACAGCCCTCCATGTGCTCACCAGAGGTAGCCTGACTGCCATTAGGTACCGAGATGAGATCCTCAGACCCCTTGTGAGACCATATGCTGTTGCGGTTGGCCCTGGGTGTCACGAACGCACCCTACTCCAAGAGTGTGCGTGACGTAGTTGTGGTGGTGAAAGGGTTAAACTTCACTATTTGTCTGCATTAGACCGGAAATAATGACAAAATCCCCCTTTTTACACCTCCAACATAATAATATAACTATTACTATTTTTTTTTTTTTTAATTCTTTATTTTTGTAATGCAGTTATTAGGTACAAACAGGCTTGAGGTACCCCAACGGCATTCCTCGAGCTTTGTGACATGTTTCACAAGTGGGGTTAAGATAAGCATTGCACATTTTTTATATAACAGGTACATGCGAAAACATTAAGCTTTTGTTAGTGTATGTTGCATTGAGATGACAGTAGTTGCTGTGTCTAAGATGCTTTCCCAACCCTGTGCCGTAGAAAGCGGAGCGATAGAGGTGTTACGAGTGGGCCCATGGTGTGGTGTATCAGCGTATGAAGTGCCTGAGTGTGTGCTGAAGGTGTAGTGCCTGTGCTCGTGTTTTGGAGGGTTAACATAGAGATCCCAACTGTTGCCTAGTGTCTGTAATAAAGGGTGACTCATGGTTTACACGTTTTAAACAGGCTTATATGAGTTCTAGTCTATTTTTCTCTGACAGGCTAGGCAGTCTGACCAAGCTTGGAGCATATGTATATCGGCTTACTCCGGCAAGTTAGGCAAACATATTATGTTGAGAGCAATTATAAATTAGGCTACTCTGGCCAGCCAGGGAGACAGATCATGCCAAAAGAAAAACAAAACAAAACATTTATATCTTAGGCTATTCTGGCGGGCTAAGCAAACGCATCATGTTTAATACGTAAAAGCAAAACATTTATGCATTAGGCCACTCTGACAGACTAGGGAAACCTCTAGCTAAGACCAACTGTATATGCAGTCATTCTGGTGAGTCATGAATCGGCAGTGTCCAAGTCCTGGTGGCTGTCTCCCTTATTTTATCAAGGCAGGTAGGGTTTTGGTGGTAGCCTGTGGCATCCTGACTCTGCGCGTTCTGTGCCGGCTGTGAGCCCACTCCATTTCGAGGCTGGGTTGTAGAGTCCTTCGCTGCAGGGAGACAACCAGAAAGGAGGCGGCAAGGTAGTGGTGTCGGGTGGGCTCTCGCTTCTCCGATGTGCTGGAGCGTTTTGTGGGCTGAGAGGAGCTCAGTCGCTGATCGGCTGTCCGCATGTAGTGCGGTGTCTTCATTGCTGGTCGTGGTGCGGTGTGTCGCCATCTTGGTGCAGGGTGCAGCATTAGATGTGTGAGACCGGTTCCCCGATGTGTCAGAGGTTCCCGCTTCCGTGCCTTGTTTGGCAGTGGGTTCCTCCGTGGTGCGGGAGCTGGCTCATTGCGTCCCTGTCTTTTCCGCCTATTGCCGCCTTGAGGTGAGCGTTGTGCTGGGATGCCTTGACGGGTGTTTACCAGTGGTCGTTGTGGGGGGTTGGTGTGCATGCGCCCGGTTGCTTTGCCGTGTATTGTGGGCGTCTGGGGACTGCATGTTCTCTTGCTGGTTTTGATGCACGCGGTGTCCGCCATCTTAGGTACAGTGCCACGGATCAGGCTGCTGATGCTGCTGGGTCCAAGCTGGCTTGCCGCTTTCGGGGTCACAGGGTGGAGGCCGGGATCACCCCCGCCGGCCCAGAGGGGGGGGAACAGGGCCAGGTCCTAACCGGTCCGGTCCTCTGGCCGGGCACTGTCAGGCAGGATACCGGGGCAGCGGCCGTCCGCCCCGCTCACTGCCGAAGAAGGCCCCATCTGGAGCGGCAGTTTCTCCCCCAGGGGACTGCAACTCTGGGAGTCAGCCTCTCCCTGGGTCCAGTGGTCTCAGCACACGGAGGACCGGTTCTGTCGGTCTGCTGTCCCAGGGTAAATTATGCTTTAAGGGCTTATAGAGTGGGAAAGTGCAGGAGCTGAGGATGCTTGCGACCATCCAGCTCGGCGGTCCGGCCCCACCCCTAACTATTACTATTTTAACGCTGCCACCGCCAAGACAATTTATAAATGGGGTGCCTTGGTCCCCCAGGTAAATCAATAATAAAACCCACCAAATATTATTTAGCACAATATTTAAGGAATTACAAAAATACTAACTAGTCTCTTTAGGTAACGTGATTCTTAACCAGACAAAGGCAAAACTTAATAAATGAATGTTTATTATGAGCAAAAAATGGTCACAGTGCATATAAAAATATATGATAAACAAATTATTTACACCAACAACAGATAAAAACAAAAAGGATAAAATACAGAAGTCCTAATTACTCACTTAGGTTTTCAAAGTATAACTTCTGTCCAGGGTCTCTGGCAAGGAAAGATGGTGACTCACTCAAAATTAGATCTTGGCCCCAAGCAAGTACACAAACACCCTTCAGGATCACAGGAGATATACCCTGTGAATTGCCACGCCTCACCCATGGGTGGAGAAATAGGGATACTAAGTGACCACCTCCTTTGTTCCAGAAAACAACAAGCCACATACAAACTTTTGGTTTTATCTCCTCTACTGTACTTGCCACAGAAATAATAATTGCCTCTATGAATTTGTTATTGTTTTCCCATTCCATAGACATGTTGCACGCCCTGCCCATGATCCAATAGGACAGACATCACAATTCCTGCCACACGGTTTAAGTTGTGGAACTCATGTTTAGGCTTAATTAAGAGATTGGGCTTGTCCCATTCCAAATATAATAAAAATGAGGCTTAATTATTAACCTGTGGGTAAGTATTAATGTTTCACTTGGATAAAATACTGGAACACAAGGATCTTCATGAAACTAATCCCATTACCATCAAAGGATTGAACTATCCTTTACAAGGTACATGCCAAATGGATGAAGAGACATTCAGACTCTTTCCAAGTGTAGAACCTCACACCTTGCAGAGCCTTGATTACTTCACATCCATATAGTAAAATCATTTTCACATTCCTATGCCATTCACACTACCCCTTCTGTCATCTGACCTCTGTGGGGGTCCAAGCATCAAAAGATGTAACCCCTTTTGACTTCAACAATAGCATCTCTGTAATTTGTGCCCTTTACTACACAAATTACATTAAAGGATGATATTCCATAGTGTAATAATAAATTATACACCCTTGCCGTGACACTGGGTTCCTCCTACTGCAAGACAATGCTAGACCTCATGTGGCTGGAGTGTGTCAGCAATTCCTGCAAGACGAAGGCATTGATGCTATGGACTGGCCCACCCGTTCCCCAGACCTGAATCCAATTGAGCACATCTGGGACATCATGTCTCGCTCCATCCACCAATGTCACGTTGCACCACAGACTGTCCAGGAGTTGGCAAATGCTTTAGTCCAGGTCTGGGAGGAGATCCCTCAGGAGACCATCCGCCACCTCATCAGGAGCATGCATAGGCGTTGTAGGGAGGTCATACAGGCACGTGCAGGCCACACACACTACTGAGCCTCATTTTGACTTGTTTTAAGGACATTACATCAAAGTTGGATCAGCCTGTAGTGTGTTTTTCCACTTTAATTTTGAGTGTGACTCCAAATCCAGACCGCCAAGGGTTGAAAAATTTGATTTCCATTTTTTAATTTCTGTGTGGTTTTGTTGTCAGCACATTCAACTATGTGTTATTTTTGTGTTCCCTTTATTTTTTTGAGCAGTGTATTTTTATAGTAATATATGTATATATTAATATAAAAATACACTTAGTATGACATTATATATATGATATATAGACATATACCGTATATACTCGAGTATAAGCTGAGTTTTTCGGCACATTTTTTGTGCTGAAAAACCCCAACTCGGCTTATACTCGAGTCACTGTCTGTATTATGGCAATTTCCATTGCCATAATACAGACTGGGGGCTGGCAGCGAGCGCTTACCTCTCCTGCAGCTCCTGTCAGCTCCCTCCTCCTCCGCGCCGGTCCGGCAGCACCTCGGTCAGCTCCCAGTGTAAGTCTCGCGAGAGCCGCGGGGTCATAGTGCGGCTCTCGCAAGACTTACAGTGTGAGCTGACAGAAGAGCTGCACGGACCGGCGCGGAGGAGGAGAGAGCTGGCAGGAGCTGCAGGAGAGGTAAGTAACAGCTCTGCCAGCCCCCCTCCTCCCCCACTGAACTGCCAATGCCACTGGACCACCAGGGAAGGAGAGCCCCCCTCCCTGCCATGTATCAAGCAGGGAGGGGGGACAACAAAATAAATAAATATAATAATAAAATATTAAAAATAATAATAAATAAATTTATAATATATAAATAATAAAAATAATAATAAAAAAATAATTAAAAAAAATAATATAACAAAAAAATTTAAAATAATAATAATTTTTTTTTAATAAAAATGCCCACCCCCCCACCAAGGCTCTGCAACACAAACACACTGCATCACACACACACACACACACACACTGCACTCATACACACACACTGCATTCATACACACACTGCACTCATACACACACACTGCATTCATACACACACACACTGCACTCATACACACACTGCATTTATACACACACTGCACACTCATACACACACTGCATTTATGCACACACAGTGCACTCATACACAAACACTGCACTCATACACACTGCATTCATACACAAACACTGCACTCATACACACTGCACTCATACACAAACACTGCACTCATACACACACTGCACTCATACACACACTGCACTCACACACACACTGCACTCATACACACTGCACTCATACACAAACACTGCACTCATACATACTGCATTCATACACACTGCACTCATACACACACGCTGCACTCATACACACATGCTGCACTCATACACACACTGCATTCATACACACACACTGCATTCATCATATACACACACTGTAAATAAATATTCAATTAATATAATTTTTTTAGGATCTAATTTTATTTAGAAATTTACCAGTAGCTGCTGCATTTCCCACCCTAGTCTTATACTCGAGTCAGTACGTTTTCCCAGTTTTTTGGGGTAAAATTAGGGGCCTCGGCTTATATTCGGGTCGGCTTATACTCGAGTATATACGGTATATATATATATATATACACACACACACACACACACCTATATAATTATATTTTTTATTAACATTAACATTTTTTATTTTTTATTTTATTTTACAGCAGCATGGAGACTGCCTGTCAGCACAGGCAGTCCCCCTGCAGGCAGACACTTGGACAGCTATTGTGGCCATGTGACTGCTCTGCTGAGCGATCACGTGGCCACGGGGTCCTAATCTGCCGCGGAGAGACTGCCTGGGCTGTCACACAGTCTCCCCACACCGGGAGCAACGCCGGGGGAACGACAGCGATCGGGTAAGTGCATCTTACCGTTATGACAGTTCAGGACCGCCACCGGTCCTCAAGGGGATTTTTCCGATGACGGTCCTGAACTATCATCGGTCGCGAAGGGGTTAAATGTTTTTTTTTTTTAAGTTTACAAATTTTCAATGTTTGTTTACATTGCTAAATGCTTATTTAATTAAAAAAAAGTTTTAATACGTTTTTTTAAATGTTTGTTTGTACTGATATTTATATGAGTGCGGGTCTGTGTATGTATGCATGCAAGAGTGTATTTGTGTGTCTGTATATATATATATATATATATATATATATATATATATACTTACTTCCCTGTGTGTGTTTGTCCAGGATCTTTTGGCAACTGCACAGCCCTCTAGGGTAAGGAAGCAAGGCCAAGACAAAGTGTGGTTTCAAAGGCCTCTGGCCTGTTTATTTTCTGTTGTTAAGAAGTAGCAGGATACAGCAGGATACAGCAGGATACAACAGGATACAACAGGATACAACAGGATACAACAGGCAGCAAACCTTCTTTCTCCTCAAAACACTTCCCTCACTCCACCCTGCTTTAACTGCAGTTATGTAGCTGCTCACAGCCCCTATAGGTGAGGCTAATGACCTCGTTAGGCAGTGAGCCAGAACTCCTCAGAATACCTGGGCTGGACTCATACACAGCCACTCTGACAGTGGGTGGAGAATCGGCCCACCCTGCTCTTCTGAATACTCCACCCCAGGGACCCAAATAACAACAGAAAAAAACCTACATTTCAGCTAAACTTTCCCTGGGGCTGCATGTGCTTACCCACATGTCAGGATAGTGGCTGCGTAAAAGTCTGGGTGCCAGATATACACCCCTGACCACCATCCCCAACACACTGTCACAATATATATATATATATATATATATATATTAGAAAAAAGATCTCGCACTCCATATTTCCAGTAATTTGGCCGGAGCTTGTCAAGCCAATTACCTAGAAGATATTCCGGAAAGCACTCTCAGGACTTGTCAAATAGTAAAACTTAGCTTTTCATAAGCTTAACATAAAAAAAAAAAATCAACATTTCAGTTTGTTATACACACATATACACATATTCATATACACATATTCATGTGTTTATGTTTTAGAGTGCACACCCTAATACAATAGGCTGTGCACGCCTATGACTGGGATACTGTAATGATTTTAAGTAACCTTGAATTATTTAAACTGTATTTTTGTGTGGGTGCATTTATGCTCCGTGTGCCCCCAGTTCCTTTTTTTGTCTATGTATGTTTGAAGTCCAGATTCGTTTTGGGTTGAGCACCCTGACCCGCCTCCAGCGTTAGATGCACCTTTGGAGGTGATCACAGGAAAGTATAAATTTAAGGAGGTTTTGAATAGTAATATCACTTTAGTGTTCATTTGATATAAAGCAGATATATATGATGTGCATTGTGAGTACAAACAACAAAGCACTATCACTTTGTTTAGTTTTGAGACTTTTTTAATTGTGTTTTTTGTTACACTAATTTTGCATTATATATATTCACAATGCTCTTACAAGAGATTAAATACACTCTAGCTTATTAAGCACTAGCGCTATTTAATTTGCATCCCACTTTGTAACTCGTGTAGGACCCACCGACATGGTGGGCTTAACACAATATGGCCATATGGTGGAACTGAATCCCCATTTTTGTTTGCTAAGATAGGTGATTTTAAGTAGCCATATAAAATGTAAAACTTTTTTTTTGTGTGTGTGTGCTTTGCCTTAGACTGTTCAGACTTGACGATAAACAAACAGGTAGGCAAAATAGTTAGGAAAAGCCAGAGTCAAGAGAGACCAGGAAACTAGAATTTAGATGGACGCTAAGACAGTGCCAGGTCAGGAATACAGAATGGTCAAGTGGAAAGTTGGGTCAGTAATAGGAATACAAAATAGTATAAATGCACTATTGGGTCAAGGAGAAACCACAAGAAGGCACTGTTCACTTACAACTTTGTTGTTTTATAGGCTGGGAGGCATAATTGTCATAACCACATGCCCTAAATGTCATAGGGGGTGAATAGGCCTAATTCCATCATTAGTGATATCATGACGCCGGCGCACATGTGCCACGCCATAAAACGGTTCATATGCGGAGCAGGCAGTGTCAGTGGTGATGCTCGAGACTGCAGGGGCTGGTACTATGGTGGTATGTGACCGGCAGACCAGTAAGGAAACAGCTGTACCCTTTACCCTTACTCACTGCCTGTTTTGAAAATGGACCCTCCAACTTTGTAGGCTGTTTAAACCAATTTAACCTTATTTATATACACTTTTTTTTTTTTTTACTATTTTTATATAGTGATACCATGTCTCTCCATGACAGATGGCAATATGATCTAGGCCAGGGATAGGCACCCTTCGGCATTCCAGATGTTGTGGACTACATCCCGCATAATGGTCTTACACTCATAATGCTGACAAAGCATCATGGGAGGTGTAGTCAAAATCATCTGGCGTGTCGAAGGTTGCCTATACGTTATCTAGGCATTCGATCTGCTTGTTTTATTATGGTAAATCTTGTTACACAATTACATATTTCTTCTTCTATTTTACATTTTTATTTGGTTCTACAAATAAAAAAAAAGTGAAAGTGAAGTATAATTATAGTATTTTGTGGAGAAAGGCCCAGGCCAAATGAGGCCACACCCATCTTTAAAATAAAATTTTGCCACTTATATATCACTAATTAGTCAGTTATACTTTCAGTTAGAATTTTTTTGTCAATATGCAACTTCAGTGTTAACCAAGACTCCAGGGTTCTGGGGGGTGGAGACTGACTGTGATGGCGACTAGACGTTAGAGCTCCTAGCTATTTTGATGATTTAGTCCAGTTGCCAGTATCTTGGGATTCTTAGTTCCAGCATACAGCGTCAACTTGTCCTACTGTACAGACTGACCCGCTCGGAGTTGCTTCCAGCGGCCGTCTGGAGGCCCAGCGAGGCCTAGCGGGCGTTGTGGAAGAGAGAGGCGGCCGATCTCCCAGCCCGATGCCTGCTAACTCCTGGAATTAGAGCCCCACTACTCCTGCCCTCTGGACCAGCGGGGTGATCCCGGTCCCCACCCTCAGGGCTCCTTACCTTTGCATGGGGCTTGGGGTACTGCTGAGACTCCATCTGCTTCCATGTCTGGTGCTCAAAATATGGCAAAGACCGCATGCTCCAGGTTATACATGGAGGAGAAGTCTGATCTACTTATAAAACTATACAGCCTCTTTGACGCATTTTGGCAAAAGCTGCCTCCTGCTCGCTACACAGGATCAGACACAATACCAACATGTCCAGCCATATCAAAGACCCGGTAACTGACAAAAGGCTATAGGCCCTATGGCGGCCCGCATCTGGTGTCGTAGACCACACAGACACCGCGTGAGAAAAGTTGTGCACAGGCACCAGCTGACGCAGGGCAAATGCACGCCGGGTTGGGGCTCTCCCAGACAGGCTAACAATGCTACTCGACATCTGACTCATCACTGGGAATATTTGACTTCACCACTTGGAGCTCTGGGCCTGCCGATTAGCAAGGTTGGATGGGACGGTACCATGCCCATAGTGAGAATAGGCTGACTGCTGGAATGCTCCCTCCACTGTATGCTTGCCCACAGCCTATTGATCCTTATTACACTGCATACAATGTTACTCTGTTTGCTGTACTCCTGCATGGCAATTAGGACGTTTCCTTTAAGTCCCTAAAGACCCCTGTGGGGGTATTCTTGCTTGATACCTGCTTCTGTATACCAATATAGAATATTACCTTTCTGTCTACTCATGCATACTTCACTTGTTTTTCTTATCATCACTTACTCATGCATTGTTTATCTGTTTCGTTATTAATATAAAAAGTACAGTTCTACTCTTGATATCTCACATGACAAAGTTTTTATTTCTCTTGTCACATATCTTGAGAAATATCTCTGAAAATGCTTGTTAAACTGTGCACAGCAAAAATAAAGATTGTAAAAAAAAAAAAAAAAAAAGACTCCAGGGTTCTGATGAACTTTACAGAAACGTAAATGAACGCTGAGGGCACCATACCAACGTCATTGGAATTCAGTTGTTATGGTGTTCAGAATGTTCCTTTAAGATAAGTTAAGTGGAAAGCTTAATTAGTAATAACTGATTGGCTATGGCTTCACTGGGTACCCAAACAAATCCTGCCACAAACATGTTCAATTAGACACACTTTAAGTGCCGAAAGAATAGTTACCTATCCCCATTTAAACAATATCTCTTCTCCTTTCCACTTACGCCATCAACTCTCATCATATAGGTAAAGTGAAGTTACATTTTCATTTACTGTACATTGTGTTTATTATTTGCATGTAAGACATTATTATACTATAAAATTTGTGTTAAAATGCTGTAATGTTGGGGATCTGGAGTAGATTAATCAAATTTACATTAATTCTTAAGTGAAATGTTGATTCGGTCCTCGAACGAATCGGAACTAGAACAGCCTTCTGGAACAGATTAATTTCGAGTTACGTGGTTCCACTCTATTAGTTAAACATCATACCTCAACACCTGAACAGCACTCTTATTTTAGTTTGTATTTATTTACTTCACTTTAACTCACGTTACTCAATTTAGTAGCAAAATCACGTAGTTTACGAAACACATTGGTTTACATTATTAGAAGACAATGATCACAATTTCCATTTAACTAAAAAATACAGAAACAGTGCAATAATTTTAGTCTCAGGGGAAACAGGTGATGTGATTCATACCAGTAAGTCACGCAACCTTGGGTTAATGATATCTTGTAGGTTTGTTTTGTCTTCTGGGGATGTTGCCTGTTTGTACTGCCACCTCTCTGGCACAAAGGGCCACTTCATTTCCTTTGCCTCCTGAATCAGGTTTGTCAGATCCTCTGGAAGCGAATCTGTAAAAGGTCAAAGGGCATGTTAGGAAATCTCTCCTGAGTTAAGAGATGATTCATCTCCCAATGTTCGGCTGTGCACCTCCCATATGAGTAGGTCAATTTCCCACACACCTTCCTGTTATTGTTACACATTGTTGGCTTTCACCAAAACACTAATAATAAGAGAGTGTCTGTCAGCTGAAGAACTATTTTGTTCTGCCCCCAAGGAGAACTAGATCAGTCAACCATTAAAAAGGTTTTAGATGGAAGTAAAACACTATGGTAATGTTCATGAGAGATGCCATATGGAAAGTGGTGATCAGGAAGTAAACTTTTCAAAATTATCAGTAGAGGAAAAAGGCTATATTTACTTACTAAAGACATTTTGGCCCCTGTTCAGCACTTAAGAAGATAGCTGCAGGTTGATGCTAACATCTACGGTCCATTCCATGTCTGGAACAAGTGGCTGCTCACTAATTTTGCAATTAGTTTAGATCACTGATTACAATCATTCCTGAAAAACTCAACAAAATGCATGACTCTGTCCATTCTTTACCTCAAAGCAGTGCATTTCGTAAGATCTTCTTAAGCCCTTTTAAATATCAATAAACTTCACGGCTATTGTCTTACAAGTTTGAAAAGTTATTGCCATAAATAAAGGGCAATAGCTTGATAGGTTCATCAAATTACCATGGTGCAGTTGAAAGGGTCTATGTCTTGACTTCCATTAGACCTCTATTCTTCTTAGAGAGAAAGATAGTTCTTGGACATTAACAATCCATGCAGCATGACATCTTCAAAAGGTACAATTTGTTTTTTTCCCAAGCAAAGCATAATGAGATGTTCATAGAATATTTATGGCCACACTGACCTACAAGTCCATAGTTAAATGCAAATAGCCATTGCACTTACCACTGTAGACTAGCAAACAGACCACCCAAACTGTACACTGATGGGGAGTCTGGATTGCAGATGAAGGATATGCTTGCTAAACAGAGATTTTCACTCAGCAAAGGAATCCAAGTGAAATTGCCTTTGGCTAAAGGGCAAGCTTCTGTTTGGTTTGAAGCCCGAACATATAAACAGTTACAAGGAAAGTGCCCACTGAAGCTTGTCAAGTGCAGATAACTTTGAGGATTTGTTCAGTCCTTTGTGATTAGACAATGAGATATAGATAACAGCTTGGAATAAGATCACTGCCCCAGTGAGGACATGTGAAAAGTGTCTGTTCATGGATTTTAATTAAGCTGAATTGATGATATTGTTAAGAAATGCAAGGAGTCACTTTAAAATAATAAATGTGTGTATATATATATATATATATATTTATTTTTTATTCCAAAAGACTTGGCACACACCTCAAAATGTCCCAAAATAGGTGCACCCATAGGTCTTATAATAATCAGTGTATTTATTTGAAAAATAAAGTTACATAAGTCCCGATCAGCGTTTTGACCCCTTCGGGTTACATGCAGGTCCGAAAATGCTGCTACTGGATTCCCTGAATGAACCTGATGGGGCACACAGTTCCCTATAGAACTACCACACAATATTTTATTTACACTCGGAACTACCCGCATTACATTCAAATTTTGGTGACACACTCAATCCAATACATATAACAAAAATCATATGGGAAATCATACAGGAACTTATAAAAATACAACACAATATTTATAATGAGGAGAGAAAGACAAACAAGAAATATGTCCCCTGTATGAATAAACCATAATATGCAAATCTACCTGAATATGCAAATTAACTAGCCTTGCTATTCAGGTAGTGCACATAATTGTTGCAACCAACAGGTGGCACTGTACAGGCACCACAGCCAGACAGGGGATACACACAACATCCCCCATCTAACATTACGATACACACCCTGCATCTATAATGGGCACAGGGTGAATTAGACATAAGAGTAGAGTTGAGCGAACCGGACTGTAAAGTTCGGGTTCGTACCGAACATTACGTTTTTTTGGACCCCAGACCCGAACACGGACATATCACTGTATGTTCGGGTTGGACTTCGGTGTTTGGCGATTTAATTGCGCATTTTGAAGCATGCAGCATGTGACCCAGCCTCTATATTTAAGCTGGAGTTGCGTAGCGCGGCACGCACATGAGCTCTTATTAGTGTAGGGAGAGGATGCTGCCGCTTTGAGGGACAGATTAGGAAAGAATTCTGCAAACTAGTACATTAGCGGGGTGCACTTCATATCTGATAGTCAAATAGAAGCGTCAAATACTGCGGTTACATTGGAGTTTTAAAAAGTAAATTTTTCATCTGGTCAGCGTAACACCTTCACCACCAACTTCAGCACAGCAAGGGGGAAACAACAGCAGGCTGTTTTCAGATTCATTTGTTTGGGGGAAAAACCGCACACCGCGCAGGAGCTGTGGACGGGCATGGAACAACAGAACGTTGAGTGGTTGTTGCCACTGAGCCTCAAGCCCGGCCTGGTGGTGTGCGATAATGGGCGAAATCTCGTAGCAGCTCTGGGCCTAGCCGGTTTGACACACATCCCTTGCCTGGCGCATGTGCTGAATTTGGTGGTGCAGAAATTCCTGAAAAACTACCCAGATATATCAGAGCTGCTGCAAAAAGTGCCGTCTGTGTGCGCTATCGGTGTTCTCACCCTGCTGCTGCTCGCTTGTCTGCGCTGCCGCATAACTTCAGCCTTCCCGCTCACTGCCTCATGAGACTGTGTGAGCAGCAGCAGGCGATAGTGGAGTTTCAGCTGCAGTACACACGGGTCAGTCGCTCTGCGGCACAGAGTTTGCTTTTTTTATATGTCCCAATATTTTGGGGGTTACCCCAATTAAAATATATATATATATATATATATATATATATATATAAAAAGCAGTGTTGGCTACCTCCTCCTCCTCCACTTCCACCTTCACCGCCACGGTCACCGCCTCCTCAACCTATGGGTCATTTAGTATAAACTATGTAAACAATAGCAGAGGCTTGTGAAGGCCTTTTCTCCATGCATCAGGAGCTGAGCTCAGTTTGAACAATGAAAGAGAATACCGTGCACTCCAACCCTCTCTCAAATAGATAATTTTGTTGATCCTCCTGACAGCCATGCTTTAGGATTTTGATTTATGTTCTTCCAAAGCTAAAATCATTTTATGGCTCAGTTGTATTTTTAATTTTTTTTTAAATTCTTTATTTTTGTTGTGCTTTAAGGTTACACAAACTCTTGCACTGCTCCAACAGCGTACATTGTTTAACAATAGAGGGCATTAGATAATTCAGCACATTTTGTTTTTGTAATGGTAAGATTCGATAATGCATACAATTGATAACATATACGCTTGATGATAGACATCCTTGGTGACAAATACACTTGATAATGAATATGCTTGGTAACAAATATGCTTGATGATGAATAAGCTTGGTGACGAATACGCTTGATAATGAATTTGCTTGGTAAGAAATAGGCGTGGTAATGAATATGCTTGGTAACAAATACGCGCGATAATGAATATGCTTGGTTACAAATACGTGCGATAATGAATATGCTTGGTAACAAATAGGCTTGGTAACGATTATGCTTGAGAACAGATACGCTTGAACTATTACGCTTGTTAATAAGTGCGTTTGATAAAAACAGAAAAGTAAACGTAAGTCCCATACTGTCCATCAGGATGGGGGCTGACAGGAAAGACTAGTGACTGCTGACTGTCCCCATTGAGGCATGCCTGCTTATGAGGCACAGAGGTAGTCCCTTTAGCCTATGCCCAGTGCAGTGACTTGTTTCTTGCCTGCGGTGTTTGTCTCTGCAGGGGCGCCTCTGGACCGGGACTCAGCTCCCTCTGTATTCAGCAGAGTGTGCAGCTTTGCGGCTCCTCGATTTGCAGCTGTGGCGTGGAGGTGTTGATACAAGCTGTGCTGTGCATATGCGATGCAGGCCTCCCTTTGGTCAGCTCAATGTGGTAAGCCGCCACTTCTCTGCCTCTGCAGCAGGCTCCATCTTGCTGGCAGGTCGCACATGTGGCTGGCATGCGGCAGCCATCTTGGGGGATGCTGCCGGAGGGTGTGCCGCAGCAGAGTGTTAGCTTACGGCCCAGCTTGGCGTGATAGTAGTTGCTTGTGCAGACCGTGATGACCCCCCAGTCCAGAGAGGGGGGGGGGAACGCCAGACGCCGGCGGGAGACCCGGGAGAGCAGCTGTCTCATCCTGGCTCAAGCTCCTGCACGCCTCGGGCCTTCGTCGAGTCACTGTAGGTGCCGGGCAGAGTCTTGAAAGGTATCCCCTCATAGCCCAGAATCTTGGGATTATCGTGGTCTTTGTTGCGGGTGGTTGCGGAGTTTTAGCCTCCAGTTTGCGCCGATTTTCCAGCCCTAAAGTGGGAGCTCAGACTGAATACGTCTCATCCCGTCGGCGGTCCGACCCCGCCCCCCCCCCCCGTATTTTTATGTTATTTTAAGTGATTTCCTATCCACATTTGTTGCAGGGCAAGTACTTGTCCTACTCGTACTCACTATTTTACTTCCTTTTCCAGCCCCTAGCCTCCTTTCTTGCGGACTTTTTAGTGTGGCTTCAATGGGTTCGGGTCAAGTTCCGGATCCTTCAACTCCGACTTTTTCAAAGTTCAGCCAACCCTCCGGACTAAAATTCAGGTGTCCGCCAACTCTACATAAGAGTCAATCCAGAGACCTACATGAAGTGTCAGACAGATACTCCCAGTGATGTGTTTGGTTTATGTTGGCTGTATGTAATGTGTGTGGGGAGTGTGTGTTTGTTGTATTTAATTTGTGTGTGCATGTATATTTCAGAGGGTTGAAACCATGTCAATGTAGTTCAATGAACACCATTACCCCCTCCCAGTATACCCCCTCTCTAAAACAATCACTCCCTCTCAGTATACCCCCTCACTATGACCCCCCTCCAATTATACCCCCTCCTTCACACCATCACCCCCTCCCAGGTTCCCCCTTCCTCTCACTATCACAGCTCCTCCCAATATACCCCCTCCCTCACACCATCACCCCCTCCCAGTATACCCTCCTCACACCCATCACCCTCCCAGGTATACCCTCCCTACACTATCACCCCTATCCTCCTAGTATTCCCCTACCAGTATTCCCCCTCCCTCACAGCATACCCTCCCTCACACTATCAACCCCCAAGCATCCATCACACAGTATTACCCTCCCATCAAAGTATCCCCCCTCGTGCATTAACACCCCCCACCCCAGTAGCCCCCTTCTCTGACACTATCCCTCACAGTATTTCCCCACTTACAGTATTACCCTTCTCCCTCCCGGTATTACCCCCTCCTTCACACCATGACCACGCTCCCTGACATTATCACCCACCTCTCTCACAGTATATCTCCTCCCTCACAGAATCACCCCCTCCCTCACGGTATTACCCCCTCCCACACACCATCATCCCCTTCCTCACAGTATCACCCCCCTCCCACACTTTATCGCCCCACTCCAACACACTATCACCCCACTCTTGTTAAGGTTAGAAGATTATTTAAATCTGCCTTGATGGCCTAATACATTTACTCATTCGTGAGAGACAGCTTTCCAGTATGGTCATGATAAAAATATATTTGCCCAAACCAATGTAAGAGTGCCTGGCTCGCAAGCAATACAGAACACAAAAAGATAGGTTAGAATATAATAATAATAATGACAATATTGAAGTATTTATCCAGCGTTTGAGATTAACTGTCAAGCAATACAGATTTTATTTTACCCTACTCAATCTTATTAGATTATAAATCAAATATGAAAGAATGAGTTGACTGCCTATGACTCTAATGTCTAAATCTGAGATAACACAATAGCTGTAATAGCTAATCACTCAGGACTGTATAAGGTTGTTTGAGCAGTGTCCTCATCACAACCTATTGTTCCTGAATCATTTTGTGATTGTCTCATTTATTGTTAAATTGCTCCGTTTCATAATATTGTAAAGTGCTGCAGAATAAGTTGGCGCTCTATAAATAATAATAATAACAACAACGAAAGGTCAAATTCACCCAGTCACGTATAGCAAGCATTGACATTAATCATTAGTGCATACAAACATTGACATTAATCATTAGTACATAAATAACCTATTTTGTGTTAATGTTTTAAATCTTAAAATATGTCTACTTATATTACCTGTGTCTTGAACATATAGACGGAGACTGTCACTTTGGTTGCTCAAATGTGGCTTTTTTAAAAAAACTTATTTCATAAGTGGTGAATTATCAGGAAACAATGGGTAAGAGGAGGGTAAATGCTCAAAATATCCCTAGAACATTAAGAATTTTGTTGCAAAATTATTATTTTTTTTCAATATTGCTAATAATTTTTTAAGTTATTAATACAATGCATGTGTCTGTAAATAGTTGTATTATTGTTTTATAAAGCTTCTCTTCAATCATGTACTATATGAATAAAAGATGACACCGTTATTATATTTGTTTATATATAAAACATACTCATATTGCAAAATAGCTGTGCTTTCTAATTTATAGTTATTTACAGATTTCACGTGCAACTTCACAAACCTTCACAGAAATCAGTGGCAGAAAATTGGGTTTGACAATGGTAATTAATATTGAATTAGTCATAAAAATGGGAGGGTGGGTGATAGAAGAGAAAAACAAAAGGTTTTTCAGTTTTCAGTCCCCAGTGACTAACTAAAGCTGGAGCATTGTAGGCTCTGTGTCTTTTTTTCACTAGTCCGTTATCACAATGTGAACGTTAAGGCCTAGTAAGAAAAAAAGACACCTGCTTTAGAAGAACACGCTCAACTGCCCTAAATCTGTGCCATGAAGCGGAATCTCCAAACCAAGCCATTAATTCCGTCATCAGCATATATAAAAGACTGGCTTAATTGGTAAAGTGCCGGGTAATGAACAAGAATTAATTCAGCATTATGTTCCACAGTACAAAGATGGCAAGAGGCATGCTTCTCTCATAGTTATACATGGCGGGGATTGATTAATTATTCATAAAACACTATAAACTATGGATTTCATAATTCTTTTTAGTTAATGTGCATTTATGTGTTCTAGACTAGTCAATACGTTGGTTATACATTATTACATAGTCAATCTCTTGTCCCTATTGTATAACCTGACTGGGTCTACTAATTAGTTTGAAAACCAGCATCTTTCATTATTGATTAGAAAGGCATCTGTATAACAGATCATCCTGTTAAAGTGGACAAACAGTTTTTCAGCATTCAACAGAGCTTGTAAAATAAGCTATTGTTTGCTTCAACCAGATTCTTTAATGCTGAATTGCTCATACCATATCCCAGAAAAAAATGTTACTCAACTTAGCAATCATTTATTAATAATAGAGATTGCTGAAGGTTGTAAACCTCTGTTATAGAACTATGGGTTTATTAATTTATTTATTTTACTTTTTTAATGTTGGTGCTGGCTAGCAACCACCAAATTAACCCTTGCGCCACCAATATATATATATATATATATTTTTTTTTTTACAGATTTCCTTGCTAGATGTTGGCACTGCCAGCGGGCAAGTAATACTTAAAATTCCCATTCAGTTGCAAAAAAATCAAGTGAAATGCCGGATGCATTTGTTTCTTTGCTTTTTAAAATTGTGTTCAAATCAGTGCTCTATGAATTTTCTGAATCCCATACTTTATATAAAACTTGAATGCGAAAGCATGGATTTTAATCCATACACAAAATGCATCCGGGTGATTGCTGCAGATTGGTTTGAGGGTACAAAATCTGCTGTTCAGTAAATAACCCTGAAAAAGTGGGGTAAAATATATATATTTTTTTATTTTTGCACCACTTTTTAGAACAGAACACTTTCTGCCCCTTTTAAATGCAGCCTCTCTGTTTTTCTAACCTTTTTTAATCTATATAACAAATAAAAGAGTGCATTAAGACCACCTCCTCTGTTTAAGACATCAAAATAAAAACACTTAATTTCTTCATAATCTGTCAAAAATATTGGAACACGGTAAGCAGGAGTGCAGTGTAATGACAATTAAGGGAACGATGGCATGTATACTACATGATAACAGCTCTTCATATGCTGTATTGTACCTTTTGGTTAAATATTGTTACTACTACGCTTAAATCGAGTTACATCACTCTAATAAAAATTATATTTCGTTTACAAGCGAAGGGATGAAAATACAATAAAATAGGAATGGTGCGATAATAAAGAACTCTTCAAAGCGAAAATTGGAGCAGCGTACATATTTTTACTGAGGATATGTAGACCCAGGAAACATTGTTAAAAACTTTATTGGGAAGTTATATTGAACCCTGGAACATATAGTTGTATGTTGGATCTACATTTTTAATTTTAAAATGTCAAGGTTAGTTATTTGTATTCATTCGATTTAATGAATGTCTGCACAGGATTGTTTTTATATTTAAACGTTAAAGTCTGAATTAGTGAATGCTATTACTGAATCACTTAATACAATTTTCACAGACTTGCTGTTCCCTTCGCTCTCTTGAAGGCAATCACTAATCCTTTTCTCTGATCATTTCTACCATTCTAAAGCTTTTCACCTGAATAACTGTGTCTAATCTTGCGATTATGGATTCACCTTATCTGGAACTAACCTGTTGAAATTCGTATATTCCAGGTTGAAGCACAAGTACTATCTTATTCAGTGGTTGGCAAATTAAAATAGGCTTTAAGAAATGATGTATTCTTTGTTCATTATGGCATTCATTGTCTGTAGAATTCTCTTATCCCAATGCACTCTACAAACAGACCACCCAATGTAACCTGACAAAAATATTGTATGAGATTTTATATATATATATATACATATATATATATATCTATATCAAACTTTAAGGAGAGCACTTGAACTCTAAATTAGATTGTTTCCACTGCTTTTCCCCCCCACGCTTTAGACTAAGAAATCGATGTTTCAGTCCATATAAACAAAGTCCGATTCAGACTTTTATCATGAACCAAGCTATCAAACAGAATCAGCATATAAATAATAATAATAACAAAGTATTTAACCAGGAAAGGTACATTCAGATTATTCTGGTTTCCAAGTAAGTCCTGATGACAAAGGTGTAAGGAAATATATAAAACAGAGGTCAATGACAACATGCACCTCAACCTGAGATCGACGACTGACAAGTAACCATATTATTATTAATACTTTTTTATTTATATAGCGCCAGCAAATTCCATAGCGCTGTACAATGGTTCAACCACAACCAAGACTAGGGCCTCATATATGGATTTTTACCTTCGATACCCTGTCTTCCCAGGGACTCAACAAAAACAAAACAAAAAAACACTACACTGCTTACTACTGGTACAGTAGTTAAAGGACCACTATAGGCACCCAGACCACTTCAGCTTAATGGGTGCCAGGTCCATCTAGGGTTGACCCTGCCTGCTGTAAACATAGCAGTTTCAGAGTTACATACGGGTTAATCCAGCCTCTAGTGGCTGTCTCATTGACAGCTGCTAGAGGCGCTTCTCACTGTGATTTTCACAGTGAGAAGACGCCAGCGTCCATAGGAAGGCATTGAGAATGCTTTCCTATGAACTGACTGAAAGCGCGCACGGTTCTTGCCGCGCATGCGCATTCAGCCGATGACGTCCGAAGGAGGAGGAGAGTCCCCAGTGCCGAGGGAGCCTGGCGCTGGAGAAAGGTAAGTGATTTAACCCCTTCCTCTCCCTTCAGCCTGGCGGGAGGGGGCCATGAAGGTGGGGGGACCTATTAATACTATAGCGCCAGGAAAACGAGTTTGTTTTCCTGGCACTATAGTGGTCCTTTAAGTATGATTGCGAGAGATTACTGATTTGTTCTCGGCCTGAGACACGTATAGACATGCTATGTATAATTATGGGTATTTGTAGCACTTTTTAATAGTAAAGTTATAACTTGGGATACAAATTGCTAACCCACTAGATTGCTATTATGCTTATAAATTGCACCTAGATCTCTCATTAATATTGTGCTTTCACAATGCTTATTATACTACGTAGAAAAAAATACTATGTTGCAAACCTGCCTTTTTTTGCTCCATTATTTCATGTAGTGCACAATTCCTAGTAACAGGCATTCAGGAGCAGTTAATATTTATTTTACATTTATCTTATAGATTTAACTTTTTTTCTTATTGTCCTCTGTCCTTTGCTCCGGTGGTTGCACTACTCATACTGAAGATTAGTTGTGATTACTCCCAAGTGCTCTCTTTCAAGTTTGCTGTGGATTAGGCCAGTGACAGTGGCACTTTGGGAAAAGTACAACACTGGGAAAGAATATGAGTGCAAAATTTGCTGTATTTTTAAATAGATAGATAGATACATGCACTGGTCAAAATATCCTCTTGCTGTAGGTGAAATTTAACCCCTGCAAATTAAAATTGCCACTTTTCTGCCCTGGCCATCATGGCTAGATGATAGAAACACCTGGGGCTTAAAGATGACCTTTTATAACAAAAACAACTTAATCTTAAATTATAGATTTTTTTTAAATCTATGCATTATGCTATCCATGTCACTAGCAAATGTCTAGATTTCTCTAAAACAAAGATTAAAAAACACCCCTTCCTGCCTCCTGTCAGTCAATTCAGTCTGTGCCAATCAGCACAGATATAAGAAGGCTGTTCTCGGCATGTCTTATCAGGGAAACGCTCCTTAGGGTGTCTCTCCTGCTTCAGCCTAAGGGAAAGCAAAGTCTGCAAGAGGAAGGAGGGAGAAGGGGCAGGGTAAGAACAGCAGTAACAGCATGGAGAGAAAGACAGGATGATTTATTGCAGGAGTTTTAGACAGGCAATCTGAGAATGGAATGAGAGAGAACAGATACATTTTATTTGCTTAACGTCAACATAACAGTGATTTTTTTTCTCTCTAAAAAAATAACCATTTTTATATTTGTAATTTTAGTGTGTGTGTATGGTATGTCTGCATTATTAGTGTGTCTATGTGTGTCTGGGTAGTAAAGTGTGTGGATATGTCATTTTTAGGTTTAATATTATTTCAGAATCAAGAATAGCCAATTTTGTGTGTCTCTGTGTGTGGACACTCTTGGCACAATAAGAACTACCGCATGCTGAAATGGTTATGTGGTCTGCACCCGGCAGAGTTGCAGACCAGAGACTGCAAGATTTCCCAACTGGTATTACCAGCACACAGGACCACAAGAGATTGTAATGTCTAACCCTGGATATCCCGCACACTGGACCATCAGCATGCCCGGACTGGCCATCGGGCACACCACGGTGGCCATGGGCCGAGGCTGGCAGGGAATCCCCCTGCCGGTCTATGCAGGGCTGGCACTATTCGAGCGCCGGCCCCGCTGTGTTCCATGACGGTCCGGTGGGGAAATCAAAGATCTCCCTCACCGCCCCACCGGCGGGGGAGAGAGGGAGGGAGACAGGAGAGGAACCCGGAGGAGCTCTAACTTGCAGCTCCGCCGAGTTCCTCTTGCAAGACCCGGAACGTTGCCATGGAGAGTGAACTCTAGCACCACAGGTTCACTCACCACTAGCACCACCAGCACAATCCACCCTCCCAGGCTAAAGGTAAGAAGAGATATAATCACTCACACACACACACACACACTGCACCCATGACACTCACATCACCCTCACTCACACACACATACTGCACCTCTGACAATCACAATATCCTCACTCACAAACACACACACACTGCACCCCGACACTCACAGCATCCTCACTCACAAACACACCCACTGCACCCTTGACACTCACAGCACCCTCTCACACACACACACACACCATCCCTGACACTCACAGCACACCTGGCACTCAAAGCACCCTCACCCAACACAGCACCCAGCACTCAGACACAGCACACACACACTGCACCCCTCACACACAGCACCCTCACACACACACACTGCACTCCTCTTGCACACACACTACACCCCTAATACACACAGCACCCCTGACACTCACAGCACCCTTACTCACACACACACACATAGCACCCTCACACAAATACAGCACCCATCACACAAACACAGCATACAAAGACACTGCACCCCTCATATACACAGCACCCTTACCTACATAGCACCCTCACGCAAACACAGCACCTATCACTCATGCACAACACACACTACACCCTTCACACACACACTACACCCCTCTTGCACACACACTGCACAATACTCTTTCCTGGCATTTTTGTCTCCTGATATCCCATCTACGGAGACACCAGAGACAAATTTCAAGCAAACACAGTGCAAGCATGTTATTAAATTTGCTTGCGCTGTGCAGAACAGATAAAGGGTCTTTCAGAACAGATAAAGGGTCTTTTTCTCATGCTAGAGCTCTTCAGCAGAGCTCTGCGCATGGTGTGCCCTGGAAGAGCATTGAACCATGCTCACTTTGTGATGGGGCGTGCTTGTCATTGGTGATGACAAAACACACCCTATGTGGCCCGGCCCCCTTTTTAGTAGGCCGCTGTAATTAAAAAATGCCCGGGACCAATTTTTTTCCCAGTCCGGCTCTGACCACCAGTGTCCAGCATGTCAATCCCCCCTGCAAGGTACAAAAAGGAGAGGGAAAGGCGCTGTCAAATGATTCTTTGATCTCTCTGTTGCCAGCAGGGATGTGGCCTTGTACACAATACAGCACCATGATCTTCCATGGCGTGTGACATCACTGAATACTATGCCATTCCTAAGACGTTAAAATCATCTGTGTACTCACAAGTCCAGTCTAATTTTCCAAGACTATACTTTTCTTACCTGACCTATTCCTGACTGCCTGCTCTTTTTAAAACTTTGCAATCCACTTAACAATAAGTGCAGAAAGCAGGATATGGAGGGTTGGTTCACACGAGTATCCATAAAAAACTATTTGCAATATGTAGAATAAATAATATTACTAATGGTTATTTAAAAAATGCTTTTAAGTATTTAAATTAAGTAGTTATGCCGTTTTATATCTACAAAATGATTTTTTTTTCTTCGTATAGGATTCAAACTGGCACCATTCATAGTTTTGTATTGAGTGCCTTACGAACATTGCAAAGTTCTACTGTCGAATATTGGTGTACATTTAGTGGTCTTACTAGTAATGCTTTATATCATAAAGTCTAACTGATCTTCTATTTTTTTTAATTGGCACCTTAAAATAAAAATATTAATGCACACAAGTCTTAATTGATCATAAATAGTGTATTTCCCTTGATACTCTAACATCATTAGCAGGAAATTACAAAAGGCCAAAAGCTACTACTAATATCATTAGGAGTGATTTTCTATTCATTTCTGGTTTGTTTAATTCTTAGAATAAAAAAAAAATATATATTGTTATCAGCAACTGTTTGGAATAACTCATGCAAAAACAAATTAGCAAGTAGAGTCATTAAATTGAAATTCTTAACCCATTGATGGATAAACAGATTCATACATAACAGACTGCGTTAATAGCCTATTCTCCATCTTTTCTGATATTCAAAAAGTATGTCACCTGCCGTCAAACTTTTGCTCATTGTTCTGCTTGCAAGAATAAATGCTACTCTGCCTGGGTTTACTGGGGCCTGAAAATTAAAAGTGACAGCAATTCACTCACAACAAAGTGAGCTTCCTTCATTGCCTACAGACCAGATCCCATTCATACCTCAAAACCCAACAGCTCACTCGCTCTCGCCTGCCAAAAGAAGAAAAATAGAGCAGGGACAAGGACATGCGATTGGGACGCAGAAGCTGAGAAGGAACCTGCTGGCAGTCCTGTGCCTCACATAAGGTTCTCACCTTTGCACCACTGGTGGTCATTCTTCTCTTCCTCAGACGGCTTTGACACCTCTGAATCAAGCGATTCAAGCTTTTGCTTGCACTCTTCTAGCACAGCCACAACCTCTTGATTATTCATGACGACTGTTTCCCACTTGACTGTGAATCAAGTATCCCTTGGTGCACTGTGATCAATGACCTAGGAGAAGACACACATTCTAAATAAAAAGGATTTTTCAAGGGTGAGGTACCTGCCGAACAAAAGAGGAAAAGAGATGATTAACTAAAGAATCATCAATTATATGCAAGCCTCAAGCCGGGGATAGATAATGGAGAAAAAGTACATGAAAACACATGGCAACTTCTATAAGGCTTTATTAGAGACGTGTGTGAAATTACAGCAGGGTGCTTGAGCTGTTCAACACAATAAAAGAATAGATACAGAAATATAATTCCTCTGAAAAGACTTGCCACTAGTTTATTAAACATTTGATTGCATGGTTGGTTATGATCATATCGAAATAAGTAGTATCTCGGCTGATTTGACATAAGGTAAGCCTTATACACCTAATGAGCACTTACGCAAAGTTGGAAATTTTCTCGAAATTATTCCAATCAGTTAGATTTTTTACAAAATATTTACCTGCAAAAATTCCCATGGAATTTATTGGTTACTTCTGTAGATAAATCATTTAAAAAGTTTATTTTTTCCTAACAGACAGGACTAATTCAATCTTAAAGTTCTAATAACAATTATAACAAACATGCTAATTATTATTATTATTGGTATTTATATAGCGCCAGCTTATTCCGCAGCACTTTACAATAAAAGGAGAATTTACCAAATGTGACAATAACAAAATGTAACAGGAACAATAGGTAGTTGAGGACCCTGCTCAAACGAGCTTACAATCTAGAGGAGGTGGGGTATAAAAAAACAATAGGAAGGATATTGAGAGAGACAGCAAATAGGCGTGGTAGGAAAGTAGCAGAACTGGAGGTGAGAGTGGAGTGTGGCACAAGAGGAAGGTTTGAGAGATAGAAGTTACTCTTGGAGGCCATAAGCTTTCCTGAAAAGATGGGTTTTGAGGGACGTCTTAAAGGATTGAAGACTGGGCCAGTGCAAGGATTTCTGCCGCCCCAGGCAAGGATTTATTTTGCCGCCCCCTCATGTCACTCACTCACGGACTGACACACACTGGCAGACACAAACACTCATTGACAGACACACACACAGACACTCACTGACAGACAAACATACAGACACTTACTGATAGACATACACGCACTCATTGACAGACACACAAACACTCACTCACTGACAGACACACACACACACACACACTCACTGACATACATACTCACTCACTGACAAACACACACACACACAAGCAGCCTCTCACTGACACACACACGCTCAGTGACAGTCAAACACTCACCTCCCTGGAGTCCAGTGTGGGGCAGCTCTTTACTCCTCCCGATGCGTTTTAGTATGCCGGGGCTGGAATTACGTCATATTCCGGCTCCCCGCATCACAGAGGGTGCGCGAGGGAGGAGTGAGAGGCTGCAAGAACAGCCTCCCTCGCTGCCTGGCTTCTCTGCCCCCCTCTCCTCAGGACAGGTCACCGGCATTTGTTGGCAGAGCAGGCACCTGCCATCAAGGTAAGCAGGTGCCTGCTCTGCCTTACCTAGCACAGCTTCAGGGGCGCCCAGAGGTAGCCAGATGGACACCTCCTTGCCCCTCTGTGACAGGGCTCCTCTCAGCGCCCCCACCTTTGGGCGCCTTTAGGATTGGCCCAGCGCTGTGGCCCCAGACAGAGGGAGCCCACCTGGAAATACCCCGGTGGGCGCCCCCAGCAGGCTTGCGCCCTAGGCGAATGCCTAATTCCCCTAACTGTGGCGCCGGTTAGGATTGAAGACTAGGGGAAAGTATGACAGGTGTAGGCAGGCTGTTCCAAAGGAAAGGAGCCGCCCGTGAGAAGTCTTGCAGGTGTGAATTTGCAGTAAGGGTGTGACCAGCAGACAGGAGAAGGTCACCAGTAGAGCGGAGAGACCGAGGGGGAGCATACCTATGAATCATCAAATGATCATCAATTTAATAGGTAGGCTGAAATAAAAATCATTAAGGGAAAGAGAAACAGCTTTGTAGGAGGAATATAATTCTGTGAGGAACAGCCAAACTATGCTAAAAAGGTTAAGGTTGCTGAAGTCAGTTTAATGTCAAAAGGCATACACCATGGCAAGACACAGGTAACAATGAGGACTACAGATTTAGTGGTTGGCCAAGTCAACTGAAAGACACATCATGTGTACTTCCCTTCACAAATGAAAGATGTTTAGCAGTGCAATGAAACCAGAACATGCAGAAATCAGTGGGTCCCGAGTGCACCCAGGGGCGGATTAAGAACTATGGCAATTCAGTCACTGACCTAGGGACCAAAGCTTTTGGAGGCCTACTCCTGAAATAAGAGCGGAATTCTCTCTCATCTACGCTGTCCACACAGCTTGGCATGCACTGCAGACAAAGTGTTGGGGCTGGCAGAGCCAGAACGACCGTCGGTGTACCTACACCGGGGCCAGTACACTGGGGGGCCCCATCAGGTATGTGTCAGTGTGTGTATGTGCCAGTGTGTATATCTGTGTGTGTGTGTATGTATCTCTGTGTGTGTGTATATATATATATGTCAGTGTGTGTGTATGTGTCAGTGTGTGTATCTGAGTGAGTGTGTGTGTGTATGTGTCAAGGTGTGTGTATTTGTCCAAGTCTGTACATGTGTCAGTGTGTGTATCTTTGTGTTGGTGTGTGTATATGTGTCAGTGTGTTGGAAAATGGAGAAAACAGAAATAAATACAATTTTAAAAAAACACACACGTGCATCCCACAACTCATGCTCTTCATGTATGCAAACTATATCTAGTTATTACTCACACTCACATTGATCAACATAGCTTAACACTCTTCACAAATAAACTCCTGCATTCACACACACACACACACTGACACAATCAAATAACTGCTGAAATACACTTTTGTATTTGCACACACTGACATGCTATAGAAATATTACCCCTACATTTAAACAAACTGATAACATTTTTTAATATATACCCGAGCACTCCCTTCCACATTCCACACATTACACAACCCTTGTTCCACACACCGAGACACTCTGCATTTACAAACATTACACATGAATGGACAATTTTGCACAACACACAAAAGCACTCTTGCATTCACCCACTCAAATGTGTTATTGAATTCATACATTCAGATACCCATTGTACAGCGCTACAGTATTTGCTGGCGCTATATAAATAATAAAATAAAAATAATAATAATACTACAAACAGATGCACACATATGGTTTCAGTAACACTTTATGCATATACATAAATACATCCGCAGTGGTACTAGGTACATAAACTACCACCTACACTCACAATCCACACAGTCAAACATACACAAAACACACACACATGGTTTATTCACTAAACTTTACAAAACTGGCAAAAATTTCAAATTGGAGGCCATAAATAGCCAAATTAGAAACATTCTACAACTTAAATATTGGTCCAAAATGGAAATTCCGTTGTCAGTTCCACAATATTCCATAGTTAGTGAAAAATCAACTATTTATTGTTACAGAGATCCCCTCTGTCGGATACATAGAGTTATTTTTGTTTCACCTTGCTACTTTGTTTCATACGAACCCATTCTGCAAGCCATTCATATATACGAATGACCGACCACCCGGCCCTTGGCGTGTGCCGCTAGTTAACCTTGTTGACCTCGAAACCGCCGAAAGAACTAACGAACAGACGACCACCCTGCTACAGGAGTGTGCAGGCAATTAACCGCCCGGGAGTTGTGGTTAGTGGTTATCAGGGTGGTCACCGTTCGCGCACAATTGCCCGAATGGAATACCAAACCATGCACGAAAGTACTGTTGAACGACGACCACGTAGACCCTGGCGTGTGTCACCAATTAAGTTGTGGTTTCTGTGGTTAACCGCAATCTAAGTATTTACACCAAGGTGGCCGCCGTTCATATGCCGAACACGAGGCGGCGGCCATCTTTTTGTCATCGAGTGTTCAGCGGGACTTGAGAGTAAAATCCCTGGAACTGTAATCGGCTGATGGTTTACACGAATCCCGCTGAGGTGCTGGTTGTTGCCTCCGTTCGCACAAAAACCATGCGAATATTATGACTCTTACAGGCCATTCGTGAGATCTGAGCACCATTCGTATATCTTGTGCGCTCAGATCTGAGCTATCCAGAGAATGGTCGAATGGGCAATTTTCGTAAAAGTTATGCATTTTTATGTTATTTTCATGTGGGTAATAAAATGTGGTATTTTCATGCGTTTAGAGATAATTAGGTTAGTGTAACCGTTGAAACCAATTATCTCCAAGCTAGGGGGGGGGAGTATGTTCAAAAGATGCCCTTTTCTCTCATTGGTTGGGACATTGCATTGTCCAGTGTACCATCAGATCCAACGGGGTTGTCCTTTGGCCTGATAAATTGTATAAATTGCTATGCATGAGTGCCATTAAAGCCAGTTAGTTTTACCCTCAACTAGCAACTCAACTCGTGTTGTAGGGAACAGTGGATCCTAGCTGTACTCATGGCCGCCATCAGGGGGTGACAACCATGATGGGAGTCTGCTGGGCTCCTCCTTGCTGGCCCAACAAGCGGAGCCACGGGACAACCAGGGAATCCAGTGTCCCCCCTCCCTGGCTACAGGTAAGAGGCAGGGAGGGGGGAATACATCGTTTTTTTTTATTATTATTGTAATAAAAATTCAACATAAAAAAAAAATACCTTCCAGCAGCATGTCACACATCCACCACACATATACATCATCAAACTGCATCCACTACACAACATCCACCACATAAACAGACAAACTGCATCCATTACACAACCACACACATCATCCACTAAACAACCACACACATCATCCACCAAACAACCACACACATCATCCACCAAACAACCACACACATCATCCACCAAACAACCACACACATCATCCACCAAACAACCACACACATCATCCACCACATATACAGATAAACTACATCCACTACACAACCACACACACACATCATCCACTACACAACCACACACATCATCC